TTCTGTTTCACGTACTCTGGCAAACACAATCAAATGAGACGAATTTCTATCCGGCATTGTTCACACCAATACCATCCAAAATCAAGAATATATACCAACTAATTAATCCATAAGAGCTTCAATCACTACAATGCTTACCCATCCTACCACTGTGATAACAAAGATGAGTAGAGAAGAAAGGAGATGCCCCTTTTTAAAACTGAATTCCCAATTACACTCTACTTCCAGAACAACAGGCAGGGGAAACGAAAACAGAGCACTGAACACTAACTAAGCCCAGGGCAAACTGAATTCCCAATTACACTAACTTAGCTACGGTAACAACTAACAAGAACCCAGTAATAAATTGAAGCAATAGAAGAATTGTTCGAAGAGACTCACTGGGATTCCATGGCGAAGTGCGAAGTGCGAAGCGGTGGCGTCTCCTTTGTCGAAGCTTCAAAGGGCTTGAGACCTGTAGAAATTAAAACTGAAAACGATGAAGCCAGGAGAGGAATCGACGAAGACAGGGAACTCTAAAACCATATCGGAAAAGGGTTGCGATACCCAGATGCGCCGGCGTCGACCCCCGACGGGGGAAGCTTCGATCTTGATTCTTGAACGAACGATTGAGTTCGCCGGCGACAGGGGGAGTCTCTGACTGCGCTGCAGTCTGCAGGGGGTAGGGTTGGCGATGGCCGATGGGTGTGTGTGGTGGCGACTGGCGATGTCGTGCGCTATGAAACTGCGAAAGATCCCTACAATGAAAACGTCACCATAGGAACTAAGCAACTGTTCGGTTTTTTCGGGTTCCCTATCGGGTTTCGGGTTTATGAAACCGAAACCGACAAGTACATTCTCGGGCTGAAACCGAAAAACCGAACCCACAGACAAATGCTGGCGGTTCGGGTTCGGGTTAAACCGAAAACCCGAAACCGTTTTGACAGCCCTACTAGAAAACCACAATGGTATTTTGCGGTATGAAACGATTGAACCATGATTAAACCACAATTTCAGCATAACATACCATATCGTTGCATTTCCAATACAATTTTCGGTACGGTTTTTCAATCTTTGCTTCATGGTCTAGCTTTCTTTCTTTACAAGAGAAAGTCATTGAATTGAATTAATATGCATCGATTAATTAAATTTGCATGAATTGTTACGTGTCATTTAGCAATCAGTTTTACACTAACGGCCTGTGCAACGGAATCACAACAACACATGATTAGGATGGATTATTCATCAAATAATGACATATGTCTACGGTTGGCCAAATCAAATTTTTTATTATTTAAAAATATCTTTGGCAATTTGACACATCTAAGATTATTCAAACAACTCAACTGTACTCTAATTCAATCTTAAAATATTCAATTTAAGTACATATAATTATTACAATAATTATATACATTTTATAATTTTATGTGTGTTTATGCGACAAGTGATTTAGAGAAAAATTAAATTGTTTTATATCACCTGAAGGTGCAGATGATTTTATTAAGTCCATGTCTGAAGTGCAATGAGCTTTCAGATGAAATGAACATAGAGGAGGAGCTAGGTTGGAGGGTACTATAGCCCTTCCCTAAAAATGGAAATATAAATAAAACTACATAAATTTGCAATAAATTTAGGTAATAGAATAGTCAGTCAGGCTTTAGCCCCATCCTTCAATTATAACAGTTTAAATCAGCCTCCTTATTCAGATTTTTGGCTCCACCACTGGTATTGAACATCTATGGTCACTATTGATTGCTAACCATTTCACATTGTCCATCATATAAATGTGAATATTGTGTAGTAGTGATGTGGAAAGATAAAAGTTAAACCCATCAGAAATTCCAATCATACCAAGTTTTGATTATGTTGCAGAGCAAGCAAATTGAATCTCTCTCCTAGAAATCAGCAATCAAACAAAGTAGCGACAATATTACTGTAAAAGTCTTTTGAATTCTTAATTCTTACTTCAGAGGTGATTCGAACCAGGTCGAGTTGAAAAAGCATGCTATGATCATCTATGTGTGGGCCGTATATCTTGATCTTTGGGATGGGTTAGCATGCTAAGCCCTTAAGGGGTTGGAAAAATGACACCCCCTTGTTAATTGGTCAATTTTTCATTAATTATTGACTAGTATTAATGAAAGTAACCATAATAAATGTTCTGTTATTAAATACAAAGTAAGCATTAAATACACCACATTAATTACTCGTTTTTTTAAATAAAATCTAAACATATACAAAAATACAATTCTCTCTCTCATCTTTGATCTTTCTCTCTCCTATCTCTATTCTTCCTTTCCGAGCAGCCTCCGACCACCAAGTTTCCTCCGACCACCAAGTTTCCTCCGACCACCACATTTCGCCGGTAAAATCCGCCGACAGACTCTTTCCGGTCACGTGCGAAAATATACCACTGCACTGATATGTTGTACCACTGTACTCGTATTTGTACCACTGCCCCGATACTCATATATGACATTGGTACCAGTGCACTGATATCACTACCAGTGCAGTGGTATAGCTACCAGTGTAGTGGTACAACGTATCAGTGCAGTGATATATTTTTTGCAGGTGGTCGGAGGGAGTCTGCCGATGAGATTTTCACCGGAGAAGTGTGGCGGTCGGAGGAAGTCTGGTGGTCAGAGGCTGCTCAAAAAGGAAAAAATCAGATATAGTGAGAGAGAATATATTTAGTGTAGGTTTTAATTTGAAAAAAAAAGATACTAATTAATATGGTGCATTTAATTCCTAATGTGTATTTAATGTGTGTATTAAATTCTATAGTTGTATTTAATACACTAGGGGGTGTCATTTTTCCAACCCCTTAAGGGGTTAGCATGCTAACCCATCCCTTGATCTGATCTTTAAGTTACATTTTCAAGTAAACGGGAGTGGCCCGATATTCAATACATAGTTGATTGGATAAGGACTACTTTTAGGAAAGATCCTAATAGAGTTGATCTCATCGTAAGAGTTTTTAAGTTGAAGCTAAATCAATTGTTGAATGAGAATTACTGAGAAGACATGCCTATGTAAGTTATATTCTATAGGTTTATTTTAATCATTCTTTAGTCATGAGTTGTTTGGTAATTATTTTTCAGTTTCATTAGATGGCTATTGATAATTTCTTTCACTTTAGATGTGTTGGCAAATGAATTTTGAAAAAAGTTATCTATCCATACTAATTTATTAGTATTTTTAGATATGAAAGATAAATTCTATAGTCCTTGAAAATGAATTCAATTATTTTATGAAATTTCATATCTAAGTAGATCTTCAATTTTATGAAGCAATTCCAAATGTTAATTTCTATCAAAGTGGAGTAATAGAAGTGTCATTTGAACAAGTTTTTAGGAGTTGGCTCCTTGGTTAGAAGTCTGTCTTTTATGTTAAGGATTATAGCTGATGAAGTGGTTAGGATGTTAGAAAATACTACGATGTTAATCCTTAGAATGTTACCAAATAATTTGGATTCTCTTATACTACCAAATAAAAATGTATTTCGCTTGACTTTTACTACTCATTATTTTACGATATGCAAAATGAATCCGGCCAATTGGTCAGGTCCATTTTGCTTCAAACAAATTGCTATTGTTGTTTATACCATTTATGATTTATGAAATGCATACGGCCAACGGGCCGGGTTCAAATCTAATTTAGAATTAATCATCTTCTCCTAGAAAACTTCTTTATATTAGGGTTAGGATAAAAGTAATTTTTTGAATTATAATAAGTTAAATTATTGTAATTTTTAAATGTGATCTTAAATAAAATTATGTATCTTCCAAAACTGATTATCATGAATAGTAACAAAAACTTATTCTGCCAACGGGGGATTAATGACATAAATATTGTTTTTTTTAATTTACCACCAATATGGCGGATTAAAAACGAATGACGCAGATATTGCGTTTTTAGTAAAGGCTGGGGCGGCCACACCAGAGACTTAGGCGCCGCCGCTGCTTACAAAGCTTTGGGCGCTGGCGCCCGAGTCCCTAGCGCCGCCGGATTAGCCTTTATTTTTTTAAATTCCCCTCGGGCTCGCCCCCCCCCCCCCCCCCCCACCCTTATCTCTTCCCTGACCACACACTCTCCTCCTCTTCCTCCTTCTTCCCGACCACACAACCTCCCACCCTTATCCCTCCCCCCCCCCCCAACCCTCCTCTTCCTTCTTCTTCCCGCCCGAACCAGAGAACCCCTAGCCCCGCCAACTGAGGTGTCGGCGCCTGTGAGTGGAGCGCCGCCGCCTGTGAGTGGAGCGCCGCTACCTGGGAGTGGAGCGCCGTCGCCGCAGCAAGGAGCGCCGTCGCTGGGGAGTGGAGCGCCGCCGCCGCAGAGAAGGGAGCCGCCGCTGGAGTCTGAAGCGCAGCCGCTGACTGGTGAAGCGCCGCCGCTCCTGCCGACAAAAGATGTCTTCCGACGAAGAAGAAGTCGCCGCCGGCAGAGGCAGGGGGAGAGGCCGGCGAGGTCGTGGCAGCCGTTTGCGCGGTGAGACTCTCGTCGGCGGCTTGAATTTTTTTTTTAATGGTTTGTGTGTTTTTTTTTAATGTTTTGTTGCTTTGTTTTTGCAGTTCCTAGGCTTATGGATCCTTATTCGATGAGATTACCGTCGGGGACAATTGATCCAGGTCCGGTCGATGCGACACTTCTTTGGGGACATGGCCAACATCGTATTGACTCTGTTTGGCAAACGAGGTAAGTATTTGATAATTATTCATGTAAAGTTAATTAGCTAATTAGATTATTTTAGTTGGTGAACTGAACTGTACTATTAGAGAATAGGATTACGTATTAGATTTTTTGAAATTAGTATAATTTGATATTAGATTAGATAGATTAGAATTAATTAGGTGAAATTAGAATTATTACGAATGAAGATGAATTAATATAAGTTTTGTGCACTATAGGCTGGTGATCGATCTTACCATGTTCGAGGTACGACCATTTTAGTACCTTACCGTGAGCTTTATCGGCCATATCTCGAAGCGGCAGGCTTGTTAAGTGTCGTGCCCCTAGTCCCTATGAACCCCGATGCGAGTTTGATTAATGCGCTCGTAGAGCGGTGGCGACCCGAGACGACGACCTTCCATCTACCGTGTGGTGAGATCACGATCACGTTAGAGGACGTTGTTACACTGTCCGGTTTGGCGATCGACGGTGATGCCGTCGTAGTTGATATACCGGATGAGGAGTGGTCGGCGATCTGTTTGAGACTGTTAGGACGGGTTCCGGTTGATCTTGTAGGCGGGGTCGCTGTTGTTAGGATTGTTTGGATGAGGGTTGAATTCAGTCATTTGCCGGAAGATGCATCACAGGAGGTTATAGAGCAGTTTGCACGAGCTTATGCTCTATCTCTGATTGGAGGTGTACTTTTCCCGGATCGGTCTGGATCTACGGTGCACCTACAGTACCTACTTCTGATTGAGGATTGGGAGAGGGCTGGAGGGTTCGCCTGGGGAGCTGCTGTTTTATCCTACCTGTACCGTGAGATGGGTAGGTCGACTTTGCATGTGCACATTAGGATGGAGAGTAGAACCATTATGCTTCTTCCAACTCTTAGGTTCACCAAGAGGTGCGAAACTTGTCCCATAACAAGCCATCGCTGTTTCCAGCTTGTAGACATTGTTTACAAGCCTATACGCATTAGCCCCCATTCGGTTGCAAGCTGCAATGGCATGAGAGCAAGGAATTTTATTTCCTTGAAATTTACCACAGTTGCAAAATCCCTCCCGGTTTTGGTCGTCAAAGTGCACTGTGAGTGTGTTTGACCCCGTCATGTTGAAATTGTTGGGGGGAGTCTGAACTACATAGATGCCTTGACTCCGATCAAGAGCGGTCAGAATGTCCAACTGCCTTTTGTGACCTGTACTTCATCAGCTCTTCGCACTTGGTGGAGTACTATGAAGGACCACTTCTAATTTCTGCTCCTGTCTCCAACCTGTACTTATCGAATTTCTCCACCAATCGCCACTAGGTATGTTGCACAAGAGAAGCTATAGGAAGTGCACGAATACCTTTGAAAACACCATTGATGCTTTCTGCCATGTTGGATGTCAACATAGACCAACGACGCCCACCGTTGTAGTTATCATGTGCTAAACTCCAACGAATCTGATGTTGATCCACCCAGTTATCACATGAAATATTTCTATCACTGGCCACCTTCTTAAATTGCTCAACTTGACGATCGAACTTCTCCAACCGTTTTTCTCCAGCTAACAAAATAAACAACCACACGGGTTAGATAAATTCATGACAAAATTACATGAAAATAAATAACATGAAAATAAATAACATAATTAAATGAAGAAGGCTTACCGACTCGAAATAGTTGCTTATACATAATTCTGCTTTTAGTCTTCCTTTGCAAATTGCTTGCATAGTGTCGCATGCACCACCTCCACTCCCAACCTCTTCCGATGTTATTCATGGCTTCATAGAGTCCTGCATGTCTATTTGAGATGATGCATACATCATTTTGATCAGTCAAACCCTGAACGTTCCTTATGAACCATGGCTAACTCTCAGTATTCTCGCTCTCCACTATGGCAAATGCAATTGGAAAAATTTTCTTCCGACCATCAAATGAGCTCGCCATGAGTAGCACTCCTTTATACTTCCCAGTAAGAAATGTTCCATCAACAACCATGACGCCCGGACAATTCTTGAATCCATCTATACAAGGTCCATAAGCCCAGAATACTCGCTGAGATATCGAATGACCTGGTTGAGTCGAAGGAACTCTTACCCAATCAATCACCGATGTTGGCATTTTTCTCTTGACTACCCGCAAGAATGTCTGCAAAAAATCGTAGGATTCTTCCCAATTTCCATGCAACTTCTCCAATGCTCTTTGTTTCCCATACCAAGCCTTCTTGTAAGTAACTTGCATATTAAACTTATCTTTCAACTCAGCTTGCACAGTTAGAACACTCAGATTTGGTTGGGCACGTACCAAATGTTTGACGGCCTCAGATATCATGTCGACATCAAGATGGCGATGATCCGTCGGTTGAGGCGTACTGCTACAAGAATGCACCAACTCAGCCTTTCTCACAGTCCATTCGCCTCCAGCATCTCGACATCCAAACCGCACCATCCAAGGACAATTGTCATCCTTGTGCCTCAAGCATCTGACCTTCAAGATTGAAGGTGACGACTCCACCACGCCATATTGAAAGTTGCGTTGTAGTGCGTGGTGTTTAATCGCCATCTGTGCAGCTTGTTTCGAGTGAAATATCTGCCCCTTGTAGAATTCTCCTTCAAAACTATCAACAATAGGCATTGGAATTACGCCATATGAATCAACAAGTGAGTATTCTTCGTCCTCTTCATTACCCTGCAAGTAAAAATATGGAGGATAATTAGGCACTCCTTCCCCCTCTTCCTCCTCCTCCTCCTCCTCCTCCTCCTCCTCCTCCTCCTCATCTTCCTCCTCTCCGTCATCACCGTCATCATAGGTAGGGGTGTACATGGGTCGGTTGGTTCGGGTTTAAGTATTTTAATCACCCGATCCATGCACTACGGTTTGGAAATTATCAAACCCAAACCCACCCAAAAAAATTTAAACCCTACGGTTTGTTTCTAATTGGGTTGGGTCGGGTTGGAGATATTTTTAATTAAAAACCCAACCCAACATAAAATATATAATTATTATACACCATAAAAATATTTTATAACTAATTAAAATTTCAAACAAATAAACCGAGGTGAAAGGTATCAAAATTCACAAATGTTGTTTGAGTTTTAATAAAATGTGATTTACTTCAACATATGTCTAGTTTTTTTTCACGATATTTGTTGAAATAGGCTAAAAAGGTTATAAACAAATGCATCCATAATATGTTATTCTATTAAAATTGTATACAAGAAAAATGATTACGTGAATCATAATTATATTCAATTTATGTCTAAAATTTAAGTCGAAGAATGCATTAGATTAGGGAGACCATGTTAGAAAAACATGGCAAAATATCTTAATTTTCACATAAGTATGGCTATATACGACATAAATATTTTTTAGATACGAACTCATACTAATAGTTGGAACACGGGTTGGGTCAGGTTCTACGGGTTGTGTAATCCAAAATCTAAACCCAACCCAAAAGAGGCGGGTTGCACAAAAGAAAACCGTCACCCAACCCAAAACCTTCGTTTTAGCGATAAATACGGGTGGGTTGGGTCGGGTTGGACGGGTGGGTCGGTTTGCGGGTGTGTTTGTTCACCCTTAATCATAGGCATGATCGGATGGCACGCTCCATGTATCATCTTCTTCCTCTCCACCCTGATCCTCACTGAGCTCAACATGTATCTCAGCACCCAACAATAAGGATTTTGTGCCATAAAATTCCAAAGCACATTCAAGCTATCATCATCCACAATAGGCATTGCATAATGAAATAAAACACCATTCTGCCATTCTGGAAGACGGTAAGTGAAACCTGTGATCACATCACTATCTTGTACTGCTTCGTCTCTACGCCGTATTCTCGAAATTAGATTCTCACAAAGATAATGATATGTGACCCTGGATGGAATCGTCATCTGAAAACTACTACCACCAACGAATTTGACGCCCAAATTATCTTCTACTTTCTCCGATTTCCATCGAACGACTAGCTCAAATCTTCTAAAATCACTACAAAAAACAGACTCACTAATTAAAACTAAACACAATCAGCATAGCATTTGAATAATATAATTACAAAAATAAATGTGTCTCTTACCTATTAGCCATTTTTGCAGCAGCAACCAGAGCTCTCTCCTTTGTTTTGGACGATTTTTTTGTGGTGTGAAACTGAAACGAAATTGGCGGGGTTTATAAAGGGGGGTGGCCACCTAACTCGCTGATGTCTCAGGCGGCGCCACCTTAGTCTCGGGCGCCGCCGCCTGGGAAAATTTCCCACCTAACACGCTTCTGTCTCAAGTGGTGCCGCCTGAGTCTTGGGCGCCGCCGCTGTATCTTAAAATAAAACGATCCAAATGTCATCCACACGGCGGCGCCTGAGTCCCAGGTGTTGTCGCCATTTTTTGTCTCCAAAACACAATATCTGTGTAAATACTTCTTAATCCGCCATATTGGTGGTAAATTAAAAAAAAACAATATTTGTGTCATTAATCCGCCAACGGGCCAAACATAAAGCTAGTAGAGAAAAAGACTATTAATCGTGCTCTCATGAATATATTCAAGCCCCTGTATCTGAAATCTGAATCCAGAACAATTTCCACCGATGTCGATCACAGTCCACGGAAAATGATCTCATCCTCTACGTTCCCCAGCAAAGAACAAACATCATACCCAGGTTCCTGACTGCTGATAAAATCTACCTCATTCTGCGTCGATTGGTACTTCATCAAATTTCCAGCCAGGTTACATTAGACTATCATTTCCAGTTCAATCCACATGCTGACATACTTCACTGCTACGGAAGCACACAACAGTACACTTTATTAATATGACCAGAAAAATACCCAGAACCAGTTGAGTCCCCGTATTAATTAAGAATAGAAAACATAATACAAAAGGGGGTAAAAAGAGAGAGGGGAAAGGAAGGGACAAGCAGTTACAACTGAGAAGACATAAGAATTCATCATCATCAAAAGAGTGAAATCCAGTTGATGGAGTGGATGCTTCACAGAAATGTGTGTGCTTTCTCTTGTTTCTACTTCTTTGCATATTCCCTCGCTCCGAATATGACTGACCCAACTCTCACATTTGTACTCCCCATCTCAATCTGCAACAATTCACCCGTAGAAAAACCATGAGCATTTCTTGTCTTCTCCTTAGACATACAACCCCAGTCACGACATGTAAATCAAGCAATATAGCCGCCTTACCGCTTGCTCAAAGTCATTGGACATCCCCATGGACAGCTCACACTGCTCTTCTTCTATACCAAGCGCCTTGCAAACTTCACTTCTGCAGTTTGCCAATGTCTGGCCCCATCCACATCACAGTGCACAAATCAGAAACCCGAGGGAAATTGGAGGGAGGGGGGAATCCTTCAGTCAGTTGAGATCCTCTCACCTTGAAGTTCTCGGGAGTGGATGAATAGTCAAGCATTCCGATTGTCATCAGCCCACAAAACTCAAGATTCAAGCATCGCTCGCTCACGTGCTTTGCAAGCTCCATGCACTCTGATGGCTCAACCCCATTTTTTGCTGAAATTCAGGACATGAATCCGACCCATAAAACAGCCAACAATCGTCAGTAGAGAAAAGAAGACTTTACAAGTGAAGGATTGTTTCACTACTTGTATCAGAAACTGCAATTCCCTACATGAATCCATAAGGGACCTAACAGGAGACCTTTGGGTATAGGAAAGGGTTGTCACTCCCTCATACAAACTTCAATTCTTAAACCATATATCGCACATGGGAGCAGAAAGTTTCTGTTTCCAATAGAAACTAGTTTCTTAGCCCCTAAAAGGACATTTCAGATTCTTCTTTGATACCATACTCAGTGCACTTAAGGCACCTCAGATCTCTATGCATGGAGATATCATATGCGTCAACTAAAATTGAATTCAAGGGCTAGTCTTTGCCGATTTCTGTCATCAAACAACATGATAAGTGACCCTTGTGGGACAACAACCATGAAGAAATCATGACATGATTTCATCATCTATTTTGGTTCACAGAACAGAAGAGATGCAATCCACTCACATTCTTCACCACTGGTATTCACTTGGACAAACACCTTCAAAGGTTTCCTTCCCAAGCTTTCAACCATTCGATCAAGCCGATTGGCAATCTGTAGTGAATATGAGCTCGGCAAATGCATGAAGACCATTAGAAAGGAACCATATTTAGGTTGATTCAGCAGAGGACACATAATTGAAAGAAGTAGAAAACAGTGCGAGTAGCCATTACCTTTTCATCATCTACGCTCTCGACCATAGCAAGATTTGGTACACCAGCTGCAATACATCCAGAAATACAACACCAGTTGAAGTGTAAGCTAAGCAACCAAAATTGAGAAGGATTTTTTCAATCGAAACATAACAATCGCCAATCTTTCTATCAATGAGATCTTACCCAGTAGAGGTTTTACTTTGTTGCTCTGTAAGTTTCCAATAAAGTGCCACTCAATGTCTTCCGGAAGCTGCAATTTGCACAAGCAATTCGCATTTCAGAACTTGCACTGTGTACCCTTCAATAACCCACCATCTTTAATCTATTAAAGCTTGCGCATCAACTCAAGAATCCGAGAAATCGAAACACAAGGAGTGAAAGAAGAATCTAGGACAACGAAGAGACCTGAGGTGCTTTATCTATGAGCTCCTGAACATAGTTCTCGCCGAAACATCGATGGCCAGCATCGTACACTTGTCGAACGAGAGAGACTGGCTTCGTCTTGCTCACGGCCACCAGTCGAATCTGGTGTGGCCCACGACCTGCACTTTCAGCGGCCTGGTGAATCCGCCGCACGACGGATCGGAATGCTCCGGCGGCGGCGCCATCCACGGCAGCTGAGGTTGCTGCTTCCATTTTGTGTGCCTTGTGGCTGATGTGTTGCGACGGCTGTGTTCGTGTGCCATGGATTGGTAGGTTCCATCTAGATTCGACATTTGCGTACAGTGGCTTTTCGGTTGAAACGCTGCGTTGTGTCTTCACACGGCGTCGTTTCTCAGGAGTAGTTCTTGCGCTAAAAGCCCGAATGGTTACTGAACTTTGCTGAACAGAACAAAATGATCCCTGAGCTTCAAAACAATTTCACCGAAACTGAAATGCATTCATCGCCTGCGATGGCACTGAACTTGTTGTGATGGCTAGAGTTTCCATGGAACCGATTCTGAACCAAGCCGGAGAGATGGGAACAAGTTCGATTTGGGGACAAGACGGAGCAGAGATACGTCTCAGGTTTGCTGCCTACGCTCATAAAACTCCGCTGTAGCTGTACCAGCTGTCCAACTCGTAATGCCGAGATGGTTACTGGCGGGAGGCTGAGGTCACCTGGGTGAGCCAATGGTTGAATGCAGGACGCTCCTGTAGCAGCCCTGACCTCGACACAATCCACGTTAGGCTGGGGAACACAGGGAATAGGCGTAAACTTTAAGCTCCCGAAGGCATTTTATGTGTGCCAGAAACTTGCTATCCAAGCATACAACTCAATCAACAAGGCATGTTACTCGGAGCTTTGGGATATTGGATTTTTTAGCCAGAAAACGTTTCTGCCATGGTATTACTGGAAAATGCTCATTAAATCCTAATATTCTTGCAAAGCGATCAACAATGAAGATGAGTATACAAAGCCACAGGTTTAGGACAGCACCATTGGTTTCTTCAAGTTTCAACCGCATTAATCTAGTACGACTGAAGCACCTTTGCTTACATCAATACCACATTCTAGCCTTATCACGGTTCCAAGCTGGAGCACCCAAAAAAACACTGACAGATGGACATCTTATTTGCTTTGGCCTATGATTTTCCCTCGCCTATAGGAAAAAGAACAGGTTTCCTCCACAAACAGCATTGCAGAAGTTAGCGGTTGATTGGCGTGTGCATTCGATCTACAATTCCGTTCACGGCAGCACGGGACATCACTAATGTGTCATGTTGCAGTATGCTGTAGACATTCAATCCCTGCAAGCAAAGCATTTTAATAAAAATACCATTAACCTAATATAGGCTGCAACCACAGAGCTACTTGCGCACATGTGAAGCAATCAAATAAATCAAAACTAACTCCACAAAGCTAAACAAACAGCAGGACACACGGAGCCTCGCCATTCCTTCGATTGTGATTCAATCTTATAACTTACAATTGAAGGTAGCACATTGACATAATGTATATTTTGTGTAGCCAGCTTCAGTTTTTCATTGATGGAACCACCATCAACCAGCAGCAGTTTCTTGGCATTCTCCATCTGCTGGACATAGTTGACGATATTCTTGGTTTTGTGTGTAGGAACCTCCAAATCCTCAAACACAAGAAGCTGCACATTTTAAACATCCTTTAAGATACTTATAACAGACTCAAAACAGAGGAGCAAGATTGGTCACCAATACAACACATTGTGCCCGTCTCATATCAACAGAATCCACAAGTAAGAAAGGAAAAACGACTGCATACTTACTTTTGACACCAAACTACTCCCCACAAAAGAAGCATGTAGAGATAAAGAAGAACCCATACCTTTCCTTCTGCTGCGCGTGCTGTCAACGCAATCTTCAACCCTAAACGCCTGACCTGCTTATTTAGTTTAAAGGCGTGGCTTCGTGGCTTGGGGCCATGCATAACACAGCCACCTCTGAACTGCATTTGTAGGTCAATTCATTTAGGGGTAGCCATAAGCAAAAGTATGCCAAAAGCACTCAAAACTCAGATGGTAACCAATATAAATACAAAAGGAAACATTACTTGAGGTCCACGCAGCGTTCCATGCCTAGCTCTTCCAGATCCCTTCTGATTCCATGGCTTTCTCCCAGTCCCACTAACCTCACTGATTGTTTTTGTCGAATGTGTTCCCTGAGAATCAAATATTTTTTTCCTAAACATAAAAAACCCTGAAGTTTCCAATAACAGTAAAACTCATAGACCCGATGCAGAAGGACTGAGAGAATTACTTGCTGTCATTTGGCAAGTTGCCACCTCACGACTCGATGAACGATGTCTTTTCTAATAGGTACATCAAACACATCGCCAGCTAGAACCATAAATCCTTTGTCCTCATTGTTGAAATTTGTCACTGGAATTACCAGGTCCTGATAAAGCCCTAAGATAAGAAGAATTATTCATTAACCCAGTTACAAGCTACCCGAAAACCCACAAACACCAAAATAGCAGCTTATCTCTGCAGCAGAGATAGGAACCAAACAGCTATAAGATGAAATGGATCCCGCTAAATTCAAGCATCAAAGGTCAGAGAACAGCGTCCTTGCCTATTTTACGATCTGGGGTTAGCACAGCCCTTGAGGATAACAAATCGGCGGGAAATGGACCATCTTCTGATTCAGGAATTAATACAGATGTAAACCATCTCTGATGCGAAAGAGAAGCGGCCGATCCCTACATTGTAGTAAAAGCGAGCAGGAGATATAATTCACTCCATTGCCGATCGGAATAAAAGGAACATGGCAAAAAGAAGAGAGATTTACCAAATGAAAAGAGGATCCCCGAGAAAACAAACAGTCCCCCGAAGCTCGGATACAGATATCTGCAGCAGCGGATGGGAAGTGGGGAAAAAATCAAGACTAGTAAAACAGAGCGACGAGTAACCGCCAAACTTATTCCGGCTAGCAATGATTGGTTGATTTTAACGAGCACGGCTACGGGCAAAGGAAGTTTACCCTGGCAACGGCGAAGAGCAGACAAGGAACCAAAAGAACGCAATATTCCTTTCGAGAGTGACGATGCCATCCGGCCCAAGCAACAGAACCGAGTTACTGCGCAAGATTGATCTCGGAGGGTGGCATACAAAACCCTAGGATTGTAAAATCCTCCAGCGAGCGAAAGCCGGAAAAGTTGTTACCAGATTTCCGCAAGGTTTGAAATTTAGCAGAAGGCCCCGACGGTCAATCTGAAACTGATGCAGGTAACGTCGCCGGCGCGGCGGCAGAAGAGAGGCAGCGAGACGGAGACGATTGGGGCAGAAGTCTTAAACCCTGCGCAAAACATTTCATACGAGCTTAATCTCCTCCGTTTCTCAGGCGTGGACCGCCGGTGTGGATGGACTCGGTAGCCCAATGTGTGGGCCTAGGCTACTGGGCCTCGCTGAATGCTTCTGATGGGCTTTAGGGGGAGTCTTTCAGTTTCACTTTTAGTCACGAATTTTGCATTTCCAGCATTTATGTTCTTCAGTGCTGAAGACACCTGCTCAAGCCTTCACCTTTACCAAGCCATATGCATGCATCTATGATCTTATTCATCCAACTGACATTACACCTGCAGCTGCAAGCCCCTTTCCACTCCAGCTGCCATCAGTAGTCTACCCGATTGAGATCGCCTTCAGTCCAACTCGCTATCAAGCGAGGTGGTGAACTCCCACACCCGCCATTACTTGCCCTAACCTAGCTCATGCTATCACGAGTTCACGACTCTCCTAGTTTATGGATGCAACATGGTAGCCTCAGTTCAGAATCCACATTGACACAGGTCCTCTTACAGATGTGCATCACGTTTTTCAAAAGGAGAGTGTCATACTGGGCAAGAGAGCTGTTCCCTCAACAGATTTGATTAACTGTTACGGTCGGTGGTTGTAAAGGGCCCAGAAGGATAAATTTAGAAGAGAACTGTCTGTCCAGAGCACTAGTTAGTTCCACATACAGACAGACAGACAGACAGATAGGGTTAATATATTACAATCAAGAAACCCAGTCAGCCAGCAGGATTGAGCACAGCACACTGAAGTTCTCTCTGCGCTGCTCCACGTCTCGCAAAAAGCAGCAGAGTCGTCAATCCTCTACCAAGCTAAATCGGCCATAGCAAATGCTGGTCATTTTTATCTCTTCCGCCGCTTAGTCTCCACCTGCAAGAAAGTTCATCCTAGCTTTAAACCATCATCAATGATAACAAGTACCACATGGTTCTTTGCCAACCCAATTCTTATATCCTCAAATATCCAAAAGAAAAACACCATTGAGAGTTTCCTCTACCATTCATAGAGCTCAAAGCTACTGCCAGCAGAGCCTCATTACTCTGATGCTCCCAATAACAGCAACAAAGAAACCATAGTTTTAGCTGTTTTCTTATAAATGAAATGCAAAAAAGCCTACAGCATACTGTTGTCATGCTAATGCAATAAATCTAGCGCATATTGCCAAAAGCATCCAAGCCCTCAGGAACTGTTCAGATTTATTGTGCACAAGACATGAGCGGGACCCCATCTCCAAAGAAGAAACCAGCAAATCAAGCAGTCCAAAGATTATAACTGAAATGAGAACCCTTAACTATCTTATTGGATCGTTTTGGCGAGGTTTTTTTTTTTTTCTAAAATGAGCGATTGTGGGCAAGATAAATTGTAATAGGAAAATGAGGCAATTCAAATTGTCGGCAATCTCAAATTGCCATATACCGAAATGCTGTGTTTTTTTCTTTCACTGCCAAACGACGAATTTCAGCCCAAATGCCTTGTGATGAGGCAATTGGGACAAATCACCTCCCCTAAAGACCTTGAATCCATGAAACTAAGTTATGTCTAAGGTTAATCTACCTAAGTTAAACAAACCAAATGCTACACTTCACTTGAGGGAAGCTTCAAAGGAAAACCAACGGTTTAAGATAGAGAAGCCATTACTTGTTTCAAAATCGAATAACCCTAACACCTTGAAAAATATGGCCGATGAATAATCTGGGAATCATTTCTTCACCATTCCAGTCATAATTAAGCAAAGGAGCATCCCTTTGCTGCACAGTACACCTTAAGAACAACAGGATGTATGAAGCCAATAGTCAACAAGCCTTGAAACAGTACAATTAACGAGCAAAGTAGCAAGATGCATGGAGGAAACAAGGTCCACGATAAGGGAAAACATTTGTGAGAGGCTTGCTGTGGATATGTTAACTATATGCTTTTGTATCATAAACCAGCAATGCAGAATATGTTCCTATCAATGATCTTCAGCAATAGCAACTAGATATTCATACTGATGTGTAGCACACTCACGAAACACTAATCAAGATACGAAAAGAAAAGCAGCTGAATATACCACAGCAGCTTCACATATAAGAGGGAGCCGTGGATAGGTAGACTCTGTCCATGAAACAGGAACTAAAGGAGACCAAGATTTCCCTCAACTGTACCAAGTTGGACAGACTGAAAAGAATGCCCGTAAAATTCAGAACAATTCCAGCCTCTGGATAGGTCCAATAGTTTAATGCAGCATAAGAAACGCCGAAGTAAAAGATGTTCTTGGGAAACACCTCAATCAAGGACTGAAAGATGTGCATCAACTTGCAGCCACACACTAGCATGCAATGAGGGCATCAAGGTTGACCCACTAGAAGAAAGCTGCAACTGAGACTGGTGATGCTCAATTAACATTATGCATAACTGGGTTCGAGAATCCTCACCTTGACATCAGCTGTTGGTGATGTTGAAAACCCATTCTGTGGTCTTTTGACATCGTCGTCAGGAGAACATTCAGAGCAAACAAAGTGATCCAATTTCTTAGCTTCCTCAATTGTCATTCCCACACAAGCTGGATGATACCTACAAAGTGGGGCAACAAGAAAGGGCATGAGCAAACAAGAAACTTTCTCACAGGTGACACAAGTGTGGTAAAAACATGAGATGTATTCACAATACCGGAGAATAAAATCATGGTTCTAAAGATGAGGGGTTAAGAGAGGATGAAGACCGAAGCGACCCCCAAGATGACACCCACAATACTAAATTCCCAACTAAAAATCACGACTTCTTTGCACAATCTTCTTTCTATACATAATTTTAAAAACTGAGCTAGGCAAGCTAGCCTCAATCACCCAACAACAACAACAAACAGATGGGCTGACAATGCTGGCCTCGCGAACATGCTACCATCGGAAAGCAATTGAAAAGGCGAAAAAGTACTGAAAGTAATCCAAAAGGAAGTAACTTTACCAGTCCTTGCACTCCTCACATTGGACCATAAGGTCATCCGGGTTATACGGCATCTCACATTTGCAGTACCTTAAAGGAGGGAAATGCCCAAAACAAACCAAGGGAGGGCTCCAGTTAGTGATAAACGAGTGAAATGTGGGACAGAAAAAAGGGTCGAGGAAAATAATTAAACTCACACAGCAACACGGTCCGGGGTGAAGCCTCCAGTAGCAGCCTTATACTCGAACCTGCAGAAGTAGTCCTCGGCACCAACATTCTCGAGTTTGGTATAGTTCTTAAACGAGTGAACAGTACATTTCCCCTCGATGGTGTGTGCGCTCTGGACATCGTGGTGGTCGGAGAGAAAGAGCTCTTTGGCGCCATGGAACTGACGGCGGCCTCCGAGAGACTCCTCGGGGCGGTAGTACCACCTGACCCGGACCTTGACATTATTTCTGGAGTCGGAATCGATGCCCTCGATTCTGGCAACGTAAGGCGGCTTCCCGGTGTCGGAAGGTCTCATCAGCACGCAGTCGCCCACTGTGGAAACGTACATTATTCAATCCCCCATTAATTGGGTGTGGAGGAACTGAGGAAGAGCGAGCGAAAGCTACAAAGAACAATGGAAAGAGCAGGAGAGGAGAAAGAAGCCCTTTTACCTTTGACGACTTTGGTGGTGCCGCGAATGGTGTAGGAGTCGAGCTCCTTCTTGCCAGCACCAGCAGCACTGGCAGTACCTTTGGGCTTGGAGTTGCTGGAGGCGAGGCCTGGCCTGGTTTTAGCCATGGAAGGAATACGAATGAAGGGGTAAAATATATGCAAGAGTGAGCTGGACGGAAGATCTGATTGACTGACTGATTGATTGATTTGGGGGAGGGGGAGAAGAAAAAGAAACCCTAGGGCTTCAGTTCATGCTCTACCCAGCAGCTCCTTCACATTTGGTAGCGACAAAGAAGAAAGAGAAGAGAAAGGCGAAAGAACGAACCCCTGGGGGGAAATGAAGGAGGCAAAAAAAAAATGAACAGAGAGCGAGTGAGAGTGTGAACAGCTGACAAGACCGCGACCTTTGACCTTATATTCATTTTCTTTCTCTTTTTTCGTTTTTACTTTTAAATTTTCATTTTTACGGCAGCGGCCAGCGGCTTCCTCATTTCTCGCGGTTGCTCCACTGTCTTGTTTTCCCTTCTCGTCATTTCCTTTCCAAGGCAACGATAATTGCTTATTATTTCTTTGTCCCAAAAGTAAATGAACGTTAATCCGGTTATAATCACGAACTAATCATTAATTGATTCATATATCGAGAACAAGTGAAGTTCTTACCACTACCGTAAAAAAAAAAAAGTGAAGTTCTTACCACAGTGAACTTACGGTGTAGATAACAGAATTCCGTTAGAGTGAGGTTACCAAAGTAAAGAGATTTTTACAGAAATAACACCTTTTAAAAAAAAATACAAAACTAGCACCCTTCCAAAAATATTTACAAAACTAGCACCCTTTTTTATGGACCGCACCTCTAGGATGCGGTCCATTTTCCTGGGCCGAAACCGCATCTTGGCCATGCGGTTTCACGTCTGCCCTACATAAACCGCATGGCCGAGGTGCGGTTTTGGCCTGACCTAGCCAAACCGCACCTTAGAGATGCGGTTTATTCCTCCAAAAGCAAACCGCATCTCTAAGATGCGGTTTATACACATAGACCGCACCCCCAAAGTGCGGTCTGTGTGTCAATTATTTTCCGACACCCGACAATCACCCATGCAGAATTTTAGACGTAGGGCTGCATGGCAGACCAAAACCGCAGCTTAGAGGTGCGGTTTTCCTAATTTTTTTGCCTATATAATACTGCCCGGAAAACCTCTGCTCTTCACACCTCTCCATCTCTCTTCTCATTTTTCTGTTGTATCTCTATATTTCTTTAGTGTTTTTGCCATTAACATTAACTCGTAAGTTTATTTTGTGTTACTTTTTATTGTTATTTGTGATTTGTGGTTTTGTATGATATTAACTGAACTACGGTTTTTTTGTGTGCAGATGGCATTCCGCCAGTTCACGCTTGGCTTACGGTGCAATGGTTACACGGAAGAGACCGGAAAACAGGGGCGGAGCTACGTAGGCTCTCGGGGGGGGCCCCGGCCCCCCGAGAATTTTGAAATTTACGTATAAAGTCCTAGGAAATACCGAGAATTACGTATAAACTCAAACTAACAAGTATATAGAATTCGAGTGAAGTATTCTTAACAGCACAGATGTTTAATGTAGCGGAGAAGCCATGCAGTTGTAGCTAAAAGGTTCAGGGTTCGACTCTGATAGTTAGCATTGTTTTTATAATTTTAACAGTTTTTTTCCAGTTTAATCCTCTAATTTTTCTATTTTGTCTTATAAATCCTGTAATTTCAAATAAATTCAGTCAAGTTCTTAAACTTTTACATTCATATTTTCAAAGATTGTTTTTGGATATGTAATTAATTAATTTTTAAAAACAATAATATAATCATAAATTCATATTCAAGGTATAAAACAATTACATGTTAAAATGCATGATAATTTTTGCTCACACTATAAACATTTATTTTGAGTATAACATACTAGCAAACTTTAAATTATTTATATTTTGAGTTTTTTTATTTTAATTAATATGTGTCGTTATTATTTATTTTTATCTTTGGATTTTTACAATAATTTACTAAATAAATCCGGCCCCCCGAACTTTCAATCCTGGCTCCGCCCCTGCCGGAAAGGGTGCCACCTACGTTGGTGGCAATTTTCAGAAAATAATGGTCGGTACTAGACCGAAGCTTGAAGACCTCCATCAAATATGCACTAACGTTACTTGCATGGATGGCACGAGAAGAGTAGATCGTATGGTGTACCGATATCCAGATAGATAAAGTGGGTCATTGTGGCATGAGGAATATACCATAACCACTCAAGATGAAGTAGATTCCATGCTCGAATTCTTGAGCTCCAACAAATTGGCCAAAGCCGAGATGTTCGTTTACACCGAGCCAGCCGTTGGCGTTGGAGGTCATTCTGGACACGGTCAAACATCTGGTATCCATGGTGGAGGTGAATTATATAGCGATCATCCCTACCAAAGTTACCATGATCCTCATTCCTATTTTCAGTACCAAGAGCAAGGTGAAGGCCATCATCAATCTTTCCCGTCATATGAAGAAGAAGTTCAACCGGACCTCGGCCACCAACCCCAGTACAACTTCCAATCAGGCAGAGGTAGTTTTCACAACTACCATTATGGAGCCGATGAAGGTGCCTTTCATGAGCTGGATGAGATGGAAGCTGTCATGCCAGCACCAATCAGCGACCCCTCCGATGAAGAAGGAGAGAACGTCAGTGCAGACAGCTCCGACCCTCTTGAAGGTGCTGATGATTCAGGACCAGAGTCAGATTCAGATAATGATCATGATGTGGCTCCTGACCGTGTACCAGTCCCCTACTACAATCACATTCCAGACGACAATTGGATGGTCGACAGCGACATGGAGCCGCCAGAGGTCCCAATATGGGGCCCACTCACTGGGTTTACGAAGGGCCAACAATTTGGCTCGAAGAAGGATGTGCGGCACGCCATTGAGACTGAAGCAATGACTCAGCATTTTGAATGGCACACAACTCATTCCAACACCAAAAAGCTCATAGTCAGATTCCGTAATCATCACGAGGGGTGCAATGTTAGGATTCGGGCCATCAATAGCAAGAGACACGGCCACGGGGTCATATCCCATGCGGTGAACACACACACATGTGTGTCATCCATAACTTCCCAAGGCCATCGACAGTTGAAATCCAGGGTGGTTGCTGCGGCTATCAGGCATCTGATTGAGGCTGAACCGGATCTGAAGGTGAAAGTCATAATCGCTGACATTGCAAGTCGTTATGGTTATATGATTAACTATAAGACGCATGGACCGGTGCAATCCATGGAATATGCTTCCAAGCCCAAAATTGGACGATGAACATTGCGCTGCTGACCTCCCTCACAGCTTTTAGAGACGCATTGCACAAGTTGTTGTAGATCATAGCTAGGTAAGCGGATGCCCAACTATACTCCCCCATCTCCTCCCAACTACTGAAGATGATCCTAAGTCATCCACAACTAAGGAGATTGCTTGATTTCTTGGAGAAGAACACTCCTCCGATCATGCTTATGAGATAGACACGAGCATATCTCTCCTTCTCATCCTCCGGACTTTCCTCGGTTAGGGGATGACTCTCGTAATGGTCTCTAAAATACTTCGTCAACCATGTAATTGAGACTTGGTGTTTCCTCATTGGTGGCATGCGATCGGTCGCATCAACGCAACCCTTCACCGGTACTTTCACTCCCAAATGACTGTGGATGAAATGCTGCCAACCGATCATACCGTCACGATCCTTGGGGGGATGATCACTCACGCACACCGGTTTGCCGTCGATGGGCAGATGGGTTAGGATGGAGACATCCTTTAGCGTGATGGTGGCCTCTCCTTCTCTAAAGTTGAAACAATGGGTCTTCTTCCTCCATCTCTCGGCTAATGCGGTGATGAGTTGGCGATCAATTTGGATGCCGTTAAAATGCCTAATCGAGTCTAACCGTGCCCTTTTGAGAAAGGGCAAGATAGCTGGGTGGAATGGGAGCACATTGGTGGTACCCCTGTAGCGGATTATTGTTTGTGCCTCCTAGCAAAAATTTACACGTTAATTATTATATATTAGTAAGGGTTTATTATCATAAAAAGACATTTCATATTATCATATTATCATAAAACAAACGTCCTAAATTAATTAACATAATAACATTGTCAATGAATAATAATTTAAAGAGGTACATACATATTATCGTAAAACAAACATACTAAATTAATTAACATAAATAACATTGTTAATGAATAATAATTTAAATAGAAACATACATATTCAAATGTTTGAAATTAATAAAATTCTTTTTGTGCACATAAAAATAAATCGTATTGGTTGTTTGGTAAATAATTTAATCGTATTGGTTGTTTTAAATAATTTAATCGAATACAAAGCAACACTCGTTAGACTCTTAGAAGAGGTATACATCTTCTTAGAAACGCAGTCTTTTTGACAGAAAAAGGGGGGATCCGAGGATCTCTTAATACCCGATTTTCCCAGGTAATGGGAGGATATGATAATCGCTTAAAACCCCATTTCTTTAGACGTGCATCTCTTTATAAAGAGTCGAAGTAAGTGGCGCTATGTATTCGATTAAATTATTGAAAACCACCAACACGATTAAAAAATAAACATAAATTTATTTTATATTACACTAGGCACATTAACAAAATAAAAGAAGGACAAATGGTGAAGAATTGTATGTACCGGGTGATCGTTCCAAACATCCCTTGACCGATGGTTGGGTTGGTCGTACAAGTCGGTTGGATCCAACGGTCCTTGCTCGAGATAATACCGTTGGTTGTATATATCGACGTCCTCCCCAACCTACGAGAAAATAACAACGAGGTTAGTACATAGATTAATTAAAAAACTTATAACAACAACAAAAATTAAACCAGAATAATGAGTACATACCGCTTGAAATTCATCAACATAAACTCCTTCTCCTTGCCACCAATCGGCCATTTTTTTGGCGCAATTCGGACAGAGCTTCGGCTCGGCTCGGCGGGTTTTGAGGAAAAAACCTAAGAAATGTTTTCTGATGGCAGATCGAACTTAGCCGCAACCAACAGACCACTATTTCCTAGGCTTTTGGGAGGGGAGGGTTTAGAGAGATAAATTATAGAGAGAGAAGGAAGAATGGGTTGTGGTGTGAAGAAATGAGAGGGGAAGGGGGGGAGGGTATTTATACCCATCAGACCGCACCCTCCAGGGGCGGTCGGGTAATTTTGCACTAAGGGAAACCGTACCCTCCCGATGCGGTTTACGCTTCCCTAGGCTTGACCGTTGCTTGCAGGTGCGGTCCCCGATCGGTGGCGCGGATCGCTCCGCTGGCGCGCTTTCAGCGGTCGGATCGTGACCCCATCCAACGGTCTTCAAGACCGTTCCACAAAAATTGAGGACCGCATCTTGGGGCTGCGGTTCGCCTGCTGACGTGGCACGAAACGCATGCGGTTTACACTTTAAACACACCTGAAAGGTGCGGTTTGTTAATAAAACGCACCTTAGGGGTGCGTTCCGTTAGAAAAGGTGCTAGAATTGTAAATTTTTTTATTTGGGTGCTAGTTTTGTAATTTATTTTTTTAATGGTGCTAGAATTGGAAAAAACTCCAAAGTAAAATGTACCACATAAAGTGCCGGGTAAATTAGCAATATTGCGTCAAAACTCAAACACCAACATACCGTGTAGGGTTAATTCCCTAAATATTGCTTTTTATTTATTTACTACGAATATAGTGGTTTAAAAACTACTTACAAGAATATCGTGTTTTGAAGGGGGGAAGGCAGCGACGGCGCCCGAGTCTCAAGCGCCGTCGCTAGCTTCCTTTTCTTTCTTATCCCCTTCCTCACCCCAGTCCCTCTCGCCAGAACCACACACCCCCTCACCCTCCCCTCCCTCCCTCCTCCCTCACCTCCTCCAACCCAGCGCCGACGCCAGAGAAAAGAGCGGCAACGCCGAGAAGAAGACGACATCGCCTCAGTCACAGGCGGCCGCGCTCAAAGCCAGACGAAGGCGCCAAACCCAGAGCGCCGTCGCAGATCTACTTCTCCCCGCCATGTCCGACGACGACGAGCAGTAGGCGCCCGACTGAGGACGAGGCAGAGGGCGGCGAGGGCGTCGTGGCGGCAGCGAACGCTACAGGAGTAAGTGTGTGTGACGGTGGGCGGAGTCTCGCCGGCGGTGGTCGGGTTCTCGCCGGCGGTTGCCGGATTCCTGCCGGCGGTGGCCGGTTTCTCGCCGCCGCCGGCAAATTTTTTTTTGTTCTAATTTTTTCTCCCAGTTCCTAAGCTTATGGATCCTTGTTCGATGAGACCACCACCTGCGACAATCGATACAACTCCGATTGATCCGGAACTTCTTTGGGGGCATGTTCACCATCGTATTGATGCAGTTTGGGCAAACGAGGTAAATTTTCAAACTATTTCTATAGTTTTTTATTAGCTGACTAATAGAATAGAATTAAATTAAATTACGAATAGAATTAAATTAAATTACGAGTAGTATTAGAATAAATTTAGTTTAGATATATAAATATAAATATTAGGTGAATTGAATTAATATAAGTTTTGTGCATTAATTATAGGCTGGTGATCGATCTTACCACATTCGTCATACGGGCAATTTAGTACGATACCATCCACTTTACCTACCGTATCTCGCCGATGCGGGCTTGTCTAGTGTTCTGCCACTAGCCCCTCTTACCGGTGATCCGGGTTTGATTACTGCGCTCGTAGAGCGTTGGCGACCCGAGATATCGACCTTCCACATGCCGTTCGGTGAGGTGACGATCACCCTAGAAGACGTTGTGACACTGACCGGTCTAGCGATTGACGGTGATGCCGTCGCAGTAGACATACCAGATGAGGACTGGTCGGCTATGTGTCTTCGACTGTTAGGACGGGCTCCTACTGATCTTGGTGGCGGCGTCATCCGGATTGCTTGGCTCAGGGAGACTTTCGATGAGCTACCACTTTCTGCATCACCCCAAACGACAGAGCAGTTTGCAAGAGCGTATGCGCTGTCTTTGATGGGAGGTGTCTTGTTCTCCGATCGGTCTGGAGGTTCAGTTCACCTGCAGTACCTATTTTTGGTGGAGGATTGGCGCAGAGCGGGGAGGTTTGCTTAGAGAGCAGCTGTGTTATCCTACTTGTACCGTGAGATGGGTAGATCGGCGCTTTCTTCACTGGGTGGTGACTTTGGTAGATGGTCCGCCTCGCTAATGATCTGGACGTGGGAGCAGTTTCCTCATACATCACCACTACATGCGGAGACGGGTGTGCAGATTACTCAGAACGCAGTGCCACGTGGCCTTCGATGACTTTCGGCCCACACTCGTGAGCATGGAGATCAGTTCTACCTGTACAAGCTGTGGTTTGACGAGTGCACGACATTCGTGGTTAGTATATAACATTTCGTTTTATAGAATAGTTTTAATTGATTTGTTATAGATTTAGGAGTAATTATGTGACCAATCCTTGTGTGCAGTGGCGTCCGTACTTTCATAGAGGTCAGGACTACAGTGGTATTGTGATCCAGTCCAACACGTTTCGAGCAGTAGTTTTGCTGATCTGCTTCTCATCGCAGATGTGGCATCATCCAGATCGCGTGCTCGGACAGTTTGGGATGATTCAGGACCGACCTCATCCTCCACATTCCGCGGCTGAGATTAGGTTTTTTCTTCGTTAAGGACAGCATGGGCCATCACGTGGCCAGCAGTTCATACAGGCAGCCAGCGAGTCGATTGAGTTGTGGAACCGTCGACATGAGTTCATATCGCGGACGAGCTATAGTGACGTACCTTTAGCTTACCACTCGGAGCATCGAGAGTGGTATAGAGATGTCACTAAACGTTCAGGTACACGGAGAGTTGCTACACTGAACGCAGCGGTGAGTTTTTTATTAATTAAAATTTGCGTTTTAATTGTTCTTAGATGTGTAGAATTTCTGATATTTTATATTTAATTTGCAGTACGACTGCATGAAGTCCGTTGAGCAGGGTTTACGTGATGGGATGAGAGCAGGAGGGATGTCCTATGACCATATGGCGGAGTATGCTGACCAGTTGGCGACAGGGGTTACAGCTTTAGGTTTTAGTGATCGTCGACATCCTGATACAAAGCCGATACAGCGGTACCCTGATGAGCGCAACTTAGCCATCTGGCCAGAGCGTTGGGCTCAGCCATCGGACTGGGGCGTGCCGCCGTCACAGTTCACAGAGGAGCCCAGGAGGAGGAGACAGCGACGTGAGCAGCGTTGCGTACCTCGAGGAGTGAGGTACTCAGATCGTCAGCCAGTCAAACCTACTTCGACCTTCACCTTCCACCAGCCTTCTCAGCCATCGTTTCAGCCGGGCGCTTTTATCGGATTTCAGTTAGGCACCAGTTCTACCCCTCAGTTTCAGCCACAGGAGGATAGCTTTCACACACCGCAGCATGCTACGATGGGAGGCGGACACATGAGAACAAGTAGTGCAGATGTGCCACATTTGGACATTGATGAGTGGGAGCGTCTAGGTGAGAAGGTTCAGTCTCAGGCGGCCTTCAAGACATCTCACTGGGCATATGAGCAGCAGCGACGAGAGGGTGCACAATATGAGCAGGTTCAGTCTTAGGTGGATGATATGTTCGGCACACAAGATCAGGATGATGGGGCGGAGAGAGATGATCAGTTGCCTCCACGAGACAGGAGGCCAGCGAGGTGTGGTACTGGCGGCCATCTAGTGGCAGAGCACGGTGGTGGTCGTTAGTGTATTTATGTACTTCTTTGAGATATTTATTATTATTATGTTCTTTGTGATTATGTATTATTATTATGTACTTCTTTCAGACTATTTATTATTATGTACTTATTTGGGACTAATTTTAATTTCATGCGGACTAATTCATGTTAGTGCTATTGTCTAAATGGAAACTTTAAATATAAAACCAACAAACATCAACAACTAGTTCAGTTCATAAAATTCCAAACAACAACTTCTCCAAGGTAAATCGAAAGAAAAACAACAACTGCTACATTCGAACAAACTTCTCAGTCACGTCTATTCCCTCTACTTCCTCTTCTACCACCTCTCGCACTTCGTTGGTCACCACTCCCTCTTCGGCTGCTCCCACTCCCACTTGCTTGGCCACCACAAGTTGATGCATTATGTCCCGCTTGGTACAGTTGCTACACACTTGCTGTGATGAACCCTCCCTTGACCAATCCATCTCGTTGTGAATTCGTGTTGATCTTGGCCTCCCCGGCTTTCTAATCATGCCCAGATTAGGGTGGAGAGTAGGATCATTATGCTTCTTCCAACCCTTAGGTTCACCAAGAGGAGTGAAACTTGTCCCATAACAAGCCAGAGCTTGTAGACGTTGTTTACAAACCTATATGGATTAGCCCCCATTCGGTTGTAAGCTGCAATGGCATGAGAGCAAGGAATTTTATTTTCTTGAAATTTCCCACAAGTGCAAAATCCCGTCCGGTTGGGGTCGTCAAAGTGCACTGTGAGTGTGTTTGACCCCGTCAAGTTGAAATTGTTGGGAGGAGTCTGAACTATATAGATGCCTTGACGTCGATCCATCGCTGACACGGAATGTCCAACTTCCTTTTGTCTCCACGACTGCATCAGCTCCTCACACTTGGTGGAATACTGTTGTGCACCACTTCTAATTTCTGCTCCCGTCTCCAACCTCATCTTATCGAATTTCTCCACCAATCGCGAATAGGTATGTTGCACAAGAGAAGCTACAGGAAGTACACGAATACCTTTGAAAACACCATTGATGCTTTCTGCCATGTTGGAAGTCATGATAGACCAACGACGCCCACCATTGTAGTTATCATGTGCTAAACTCCAATGAATCTGATGTTGGTCCACCCAGTTATCACATGAAATATTTCTATCAGTGGCCACCTCTTAAATTGCTCAACTTGACGATCGAACTTCTCCAAGCGTTTTTCTCCAGCTAATAAAATAAACAACCACACGGGTTAGATAAATTCATGACAAAATTACATGAAAATAAATAACAAATTAAATGAAGAAGGCTTTACTGACTCGAAATAGTTGCTTATACATAATTATGCTTTTAGTCTTCCTTTTCAAATTGCTTGCATAGTGTCGCATGCACCACCTCCACTTTCATCAACCTCTTCTGATGTTATTCATGGCTTCATAGAGTCCTGCATGTCTATCTGAGATGATGCAGACATCATTTCGATCAGTCAAACCCTGAACGTGACTTATGAACCATGGCAAACTATCAGTATCTCACTCTCCACTATGGCAAATGCAATTGGAAAAATCTTCTTTCGGCCATCAAATGAGCTCGCCATGAGTAGCACTCCTTTATACTTTTCAGTAAGAAATGTTCCATCAACAACCATGACGCCTGGACAAATTTTGAATCCATCTATACAAGGTCCATAAGCCCAAAATACTCACTGAAATATCGAATGACCTGGTTGAGTCGAAGGAACTCTTACCCAATCAATCACCGATGTTGGCATTTTTCTCTTGACCACCGCAAGAATGTTTGCAAAAAATCGTAGGATTCTTCCCAATTTCCATGCAACTTCTCCAATGCTCTTTGTTTCCCATACCAAGCCTTCTTGTAAGTAACTTGCATATTAAACTTATCTTTCAACCCGGCCTGCACAGTTAGAACACTCAAATTTGGTTGAACACGTACCAAGTGTTTCACAGACTCAGATATAACGTCGACATCAAGATGGCGATGATCCGTCGGTTGAGTCGTACTGCTACAAGTATGCACCAACTCGGCCTTTCTCACGCTCCAATCGCCTCCCACATCTCGACATCCAAACCGCACCATCCAAGGACATTTGTCCTCCTTGTGCATCAAACATATGATCTTCCAGATTGAAGGTGACGACTCCACCACGTTATACTGAAAGTTGCGTTGTAGTGCATAGTGTTTAATCGCCACCTATGCAGCTTGTTTCGAGTGAAATATTTGCCCCTTCTAGAATTCTCCATCAAAACCACCAACAATAGACCCTGTAATTACGCCATATGAATCAACATATGATAATTCCTCGTCCTCTTCATTACCCTGCAAGTAAAAATATGGAGGATAATTAGGTTGTTCTCCTTCCTCCCCGTCGTCGTCATCCTCCTCCTCCTCCTCATCATCATCATCGTCTTCCTCCTCTCCGTCATCACCGTCATCATAGTCATGATCGGATGGCATGCTCCATGTGTCATCTTCTTCCTCTCCACCCCGATCCTCACTGAGCTCAGCATGTATCTCAGCACCCAAACTAGGGGTGGGCAAACGCTTCGGTAAATCCGAACCGAAACCGAATTAAATCGAACCGAAACCGAAATAATGTTATTCGGTTCGGAATTCGGAAGGAAAATATGGATATTTCGGAAACCAGGATTCTTTCAACCGAACCGAATTTCCGAATTTCCGATCGAAAAATCGAAATACTATAATTGCAACCTCCAAATGGTGGATTTTTATGTTTATAGTTGTTTTTATACTTAAATATTTGAAATGTTATATGACCTATGTGTTGAACAGTTTGATTTTATCATTGATGATGCATATAATTGCATATTTATTGTTTATATTAGGGGTGAAAAATAATTTAAAAGTGAGAACATACAAGTAGCCTCACAAATTCGGTTTTGTGTTAAAAACAGAACCGAATTATAATTCGGTTTAAACCGACCGAACCGAATTATAATTCGGTTCGAATTCGGTTTGGGGTTTGGGGGAATTCGGGGACCCGGTATTCATAATTTCGGTTTGGTCGAAACCGAACCGACCGAATGCCCACCCCTAACCCAAACAATAAGGATTTTGTGCCATAAAATTCCAAGGCAAAATACACTTGCATAGCACTAACTTTCACCTTTGTGCCACTTATAGCCACATTTGGCGAAATATCACTAATAGCCACTTTTGAAAGATGCTGCGTGCCAGATATAGCCATTTCCGTTAGAAACTATGACGGTGTTAATAACTCCGTCAACTTATTTGACGGTCGGCTGACGAGGCGCCAAATCATCAGCCACGTCATTGACAACTAAGCAAAAATTGACACGTCATCTTAATAATTTATTTATTATTTAATTTTTTAACACTTTCCCCATTTACCTGATCGCATGAGTCTTCCCTTCTTCCCCATCTCTTTTCAGAAAACGACCACACCTCAAAAACCCAATTCTTTCTGACCTAGATTCAATCTACATGGGTTGGAAGGTTGAACTTGAGCAATACCCAAAAAAAATACAGAGATAAGGGAAGTTGGTTGAGCAACTAATTGGAGGGGTTACTTGTGGAGCTGCAAATTGGGGGATGGAATTTAGATTTTCGGATTGGGTTTTGCTATTTGGGGATGGGGGGATTTGGTTTTGCGGTGGGGGACTTGCCCCTTCTCTCTTTCACTAGTCTCACAAAGCAATTAGGTTTATTGCTCACCTTGCTTCCACCGCCGCTACCTCCGGCTGCTAAGCTGTAGCCTCTCGTACGAGACATATCGCAGTCGAACCCACCGCCGCCGCCGGAGGATTCGACTTTGGAAGCAGCGCACTTGAAGTTGGGATCCAGTAACGTGGTCGACGTAATATCCCGATGTGGAGATGGTGGGCTTGATTCGGGATTGGGCTTGCTCGTCGTCCTGTTCGTCTTCGTTGACAGCGGCGGCGGTGTCGGTCTGGTCCTCCAGGTTGTCGAACTCGTCGATCTTGGCCGGTGCATCGTCGCCCGGAATGCTGTTGTTGTCGTTGCTGGAGTCGGAAATCAGGGGGTTCGCGCGGATAATGGAGGCGGAATTGGCGTCGCTGCGGTGGCGAGGGGAGGTGATTCGGGGGTAGAGACGGTGGCGGTGTCGGCTGATTGGGGGCGAAGAGGAAGAGAGGCGAGAGTAGAGGAGAGAGACGGAGAGGAGGGTAAAATTAGGGATTCTGTTTTTTTTATCCACGTGTAAAATGCAGGCTTGACACGTAAGCCCTTCCGTTTGCCCAGTCACACTTAACGTTAACAGCTTTAAAGAATCGGACAGAAGTGTCTATTAGTGGTATTTCGCCAAATGTGGCTATAAGTGGCACAAAGGTGAAAGTTTTGGCTATGCAAGTGTATTTTGCCAAATTCCAAAGCACATTTAAGCTATCATCATCGACAATAGGCATTGCATAATGAAATAAAACACCATTCTGCCATTCTGGAAGACAGTAAGTGAAACCTGTAATCACACTACTATCTTGTATTGTTTCGTCTCTACGTCGTATTCTCCGAATTAGATTATCACAAAGTTTCTGATAGTTCACCCTGGATGGAATAGTCATCTGAAAACTTACACCACCAAAAAATGGACACCCAAATTATCCTCTACTTTCTCTTATTTCCACCGAACAGCTAGTTCAAATCTTATAAAACCACTACATAAAAAACAAACTCACTAATTACTAACTGGACAAAATCATTATGATGAATACATTAAAAAAATAAATACGTCTCTTACCTATTATTAGCCATCTTCCCAGCAACCAGACAGCAACACGAGAGCTTCTTTCGGAACTTCTTTCAGTTTTTTGGTGGTGAAGAACCGAAGGAAAGATGCAGTATATATGGTGATGGGTGGTTCTGGAGTGGAAGAAAAAGGCAGCGACAAAGCTCCAGTCTGAGGCGTTGCCGCTTTTACTTGTTTTTAAGCGACAAAGCCCCAGTCTGGGGCGCCGCCGCTTTCACTTGTTTTAAAGGCCAAACACCCAAGTCTCGGGCGCCGCCGCTGGATTTTATTGAAAAAATAGCACCTAGCAGCCGCGCCTGAATCTAAGGCTTTAACGCTTTAAACATACCAAAAAACACAATATTCTTGTAAATAGTTTTTAAACCACTATATTCGTGGTAAATAAATAAAAACAATATTTAGGGAATTAACCCTCAATCGCACTGAGAGCTCTCACCCCAACACATGTCATTCTCAAAGTAATATTAAAACAACTAGCTTATTACCCGGCCCGTTGGCCGGATTACTGTATGTTAACCACTTGTGGAATGGGAGAGAAAGCAAGTGAGAGTGAAGGGATTGGGATTCCACTTGATTAGGACTGACTCACTAATCCGATTCTTTCCGACCCGCCCCAACCTAAAGGGTCAGAAAGAGTCAATAAGAAAATACGAACGAAGAGGATTAGTCATATATATTGACTCTTCAGAAGTGGGTCACACAGGATCAAGGTTGGGTGAGGGCAATTTTTAGCGCTAAGCAGAGTTCTGGGTTGAATAACTTTACTTAGGCCTAGAAATTGGTGCTGATGCAGACTGCAGTTTTTATTATCATCATCATTCATCATTGAATTAGTCTTGGGCATCCCTCCCCGTTGTCGGTCTGAATTCTAATGATGGCTTCATTCCTTGCACCAGCCATATCAGCGAGTTGTCATCTCGAGCATGATTTGTCAATGTACAAATGATACAATTAGAGTATGAAACTGAATTCAAAGAAAAGGAAAAGAGAATTCTATCACATGCCAATAAATACACACATAATAGTTGAAGCTAAGTGAAAGTCATTACTCGCACATCAATTCTCAAAAATTACAGACTAAACAATGGCTAGAATGACATTGAAACTACCAAGAATCATGGACGAAACAACTTGTCAAATTAAATAATCCTTATACTGAAACTACATTCTAACTTGAAATAAGACATGATCACCGTTCATAGCACTCTTATCACTATGAATTGGTTGCAGGCTTGCAGCTCGTCCTTATCACTGCCTCCCAAGCTCAATTCAAACAGAATAGAGACCGTTATGAAAGATAACCGTATCCTTACTGATCATAATTCCTTTCTTCACTCCATTTTTGTCGGAGAAAAGAGTTATCCCCCTCTCCTGCATTTCCCTTTCCCCCTCTCTTCTCCCTCTTCTTCACAAACCGATCCCTAAACCAGCAACAACAACACAAAAATAGCCTTCGCCTCTGCCATCTCCATCTACTGAACGCGTTGGTGGCAAGACAGGACTGCAGAAGTAAAATTTTCTAAAATCAAATTAAATTTTTTGAAGGAGACTCAACCACGAAAAAAGAGTAAGGCAAAAATGCTAATAGTTCAGATGGTTGGTTTTGATGTTATACGTTGCTTTTGTTATGGTCTCCAGTATATCAACTGCAACAGAGATGTTTCCTCCAATCATCTTTAGTGCACGATTTAGAAGTAAGTCCTCTTGTTTGTGTCAAACAGAAACATTCATGGGTTCTTAACTCCCCTGTTAGTGTAAATGCAGCAGCAGCAGCAAAGAAGTTTGACAACACAGCAAGCACCCAGGCAAAATGATAAAATGCAGTAGGTGATATGTGTCTCGAAGGTTTTGAGTTACTAAAGTTCATGTTAAAAATAAACATGAATTAAAATGGATTATTCTATTAAGCAAACATCCCCTCTAATGATACAAAGATCAGATATCCAATTCACAAACATTTAAGCCATAAAAAATCATCACACATCCACCACATTTGATTGCCTAAATTTGGTTTTTCGCAAAATTATGGACTCTTAAGGGTAACGTTCATGGGTAGTCTGTTTCATAACTCTAGAGAGCACAGTAAGCAGCCACCAGCCAGACACAGTGCGGTAGGCGAATATGATTCTCAATTCACAATTTCTCACCACCGGAAGTAAGAACAGACCATAATAAGCGTAGCGTTCATGGGTGGTCTGTTTCATAGCACTACTACACAATTTGTTAAAAAGGAAAGAAAGGTATTTAGCATCACGGCGGAACAACTTTTACAGGCATGCTGCAACCACCAGAACTGGTATCACAACTCATAGGGAAAATCAAAAGATTTACTCTCAAATTAAGTAGTTACAACATCGAGCAATCGTCAAGCACATACACCATCACAAAAGTCACTGACCTGATTCACAAAGCATTCAAACATTTGAGGACATTTCTGCAAAGGTGCAACTTATATGTCTTTTTTCCAAGCCATTTCCATCAACATGCTAATAAATTTGCAATGCATAAAACAAACGGGCCAAAACTTGAAATTCAGCCTGTTTGACCGACCCATGCCAAATTCTAATTATTCTTTACTTTTAAACTTTCTATTTGAAAATAAAAAATAGTGAAAGAAAATAGACGACTACAATTCGCCATTTGCACATCACTTATTCGGGAATAAAACCATAGAAATTCAAAAGGAACTGAAAATGTTTAGGATCGTTTTAATGTTTACAATAACCAAATAGATCTTTATATTTAGTTTTTTTACTAACAAATACCAAACGATTCCCTATAAAATACACCATAATTTGATCATTATGATGTCAAATAATTATAAAATATCTATTTGAAATGATAAAAATTGGACTAATTGGGTTGGTCGAGGTTGAACCATTGAATAACTTTAAAATACATTATATATTAGCCACTAAGATATAAATAATAGCATAATATATATTATGCCAGAGAAAATAGTTTGTTTTAGAATGGCAAACCAATGATGTTCATTTGTTTTACTTGATGGCCAAATCTCATGTAGGTCAGGCTCATTCAACTCTTTTTTTTATAGTTAGCGGTTAGCCCATTAGATACCATGCATTAGTTTATTGTTAAATTTTTTATTTTTAACAATAAAAAGGAGTATTAATTTTGCCTTTTCATATATATTTTATCACCACGGAGAAATAAAAGGGTATAAGAAAAAAATTGACACTCCTGGACCCGTTTAAATCCGCATGTGTACGGTAAGTTGGCCCGTTCCACAGAGGAAAGAGAAAAAAATTGACACTCCCTATTCTACCCTTCATGCAAACGCTCCTGAGCAGAGAATTTGAAATGGGGGAAGAGTTTTTTCTACCCTGCTATTATATGTTTTTAATTTAAAAGGATACAACAAATGTATTTAGTGTGATTGGTTATGATCCTTGTTTTTCTTTAAAATGGTCATGGTTCGAATCCCAGTACGTATCTTTTTAATGAATAAAAAAAATAACTGTGAAGACCAAAATGTCCTTCCTACTTTCACTCTCGTTGCAGGAAATTTGAAATGGGGCTCCCGTTTTTCCCTTCGGTGTATTATATTACTAGCATTGGGCCCGGCCCGTTGGCCGGTGTGCTATAGACCCAGTACGTGAATTTTATTTTGTTCTATTGATAATGAAATACAATCAAAATCAATGACATTATACAACAACCAAACTCGCAGTCCCAACTCCCAATTACATAATGAAATACAATCAAAATCAATGATATGATACGGCAAGCAAGCTCGAAGTCCCAATTACATAATGAATACAATAATATATAGAAACTTTCAAAATGCACATCTCAGCAAACATATAATGTATGATTAAATTGCAATGGTTATTTTATTCATCCTTTAATAAAAGACCAAGTTTTCAAGTTGCTTCTCTAATGTTGAGACCAATAGTGGATTTAGCTGCTGCTATTAGATGAATAAAGTTATTGAGGTCTATCCCTTCAATTCTCTATTCACGTCATGCAATATCACATCTTCCCTCCCAGCTAAGAAGCTAAGTCAAAATAAAATGCAAGTGAAACTTCAATCGAGAAATGCCATATATTCAGCAAAGAAATAAACAATACAGAAATCGGGAAGGAATAGAAGCAAACAATTGAATATGAGTGTGGTCAATTATCTTTAAGCTAAAAAGCTCAATTGAGACCAAAAACACCAAGACTAACCAATTCCCATAAGCAAAGCAAAGAATCACATCAGCACTACAAAATTTCAAACTAACAATTTGCAGAGATTAACTAAAACTATCCACACCTACCTTCTCTTCCAAATCTGTTGCTGCTGCAACTGTTGCAGCTGCTATGGCTTCTTTTTCATGGATGTTCAATGACCCGCAAACTCACTAACCCATCTAAAGTATAAACCAACCAATAAACTCGTAAATCTATTTAAAGGCAACTCATGAATCCACCAAAGCAAGAACCCAACTCACGAACCTAATCCATTTGCCTAGCACATTAGGAACACATAGCTTCCAGAAGGATTGAAAGAAGAGGAGGAAAACAATTGCAGGTCAAAAGGATGGCATTTTACCCCCTGCAAAAATTTCTGACTGTTTAAGTAATCACCCCAACTTAGAGTAAAAACCTTTTTCTTGAGTGCGTGTAAAGCGATGAAACCTGCCATGTAACAGAAAATAAGCCAGAGGTTTGTTATATGGAGAATTCCCTGCCTCCTTAAAGTCGAAATCCACAAAAAGTCCTAAACTGACACAAACTTGAGCTGTTGGTGTAAATAACACAGATAAATTGAAGCGGATGACATGATAAACACACTGGCACTAAGCTGCTGCTATCATAAACACAAAAATCCATGCTATTTTCAACTTCAAATTGTCTTTAGAGTGATGAAAAGTCCAAAACTAATTGAACTCCAAAACTATGTAAACTCTCCTCTTCAATTTGACTATCGATTTGATAGTATTGAAAGAACCTTTGGAGCACAAGTAGCACAAACTTCAGTGGGTTATTTATACACTCATGTATCAATTGGAACAGAGTAGTGAAATTGTGGGAAAACAAACAATTAAGTAAGCTTTGGTATAATAGACGTAAGAGTTACCAAAATTTGAAGGGGAGAATGAGGCTTGGTGGGAATTACGGAACCCGCTTCTTCTTCCCCATCAAACCCCGACCCACAGTTTCTTGATGGTTTGCTACTCCCTTTGAAACGAACATAGAAATCTGCAAATCAGATTAGAAAGGGAGTGAGATTTAATTACTTTGGGAGCGGTGTTGAGGGTCAGGCGTGGATAGCGGTACCTCCGGTGGCAAGGGCTGCCGTGAGCTTTCCGGGAGTGCGGGAGACAGCCGATCGAAGAGTGAGAAGGGGTATGAGCGAGAACAATGGTTTGCTTGCTCGACGGCGAGGTTTGAAACGGGACTTTCGAGGGCAACGCTTGGGGGAGAAGAATTGCAAGATTAGCGGTGATATGTCCGGGCTGGAAGACAGAAAGAGAGAAGAGAAGAGTTGTGGAAGACAGGGCAGATCCTCGGCAGTGAGCGACGGCGGTGGCGTGGGAGAGGTTCGCTTCCTGGTAAGAGATTGGAAGACCGAGAGCGATGAAGAGATAGATTCGGGATTTACACAAAAGCCCCTCCGAATTGTGCGGCCGTTTCAGGAGAGGCTGACGTGGCAAATGCTGTTTTTTGACATTGCCTTATAGTATTTTGTAGATGTGTAGAGATACCAATATTAATCCCGACTAATACATACTTTTACGATATACGTATTATCGTGTTTGCTTGACAGACATTTTGACAGTTTTCGTCATCCAACTATCTGTATTGCGTCTCAATACGGTACGGTACCACAAGTAGAGCAAAAAGGGTATGTTTAAACTTCACTTCAAAATTAAGAGGAATCCAATACAAGTCAACAGCTGAATGTGATTTCTCACCATGAAGTGAATCCACCTCACCCTATACTCATATGGTTCAATATCCTACTATACAGAAAATCTAACCCGAAATGGGGCTTGTCCTGTTCATTCCAAATAGACCAGAGGAATGAATGAAGTAGAGTACAGGGTTGGGTGGCCCCAGATACAACACGAGAATTGGATTTACCAGAAAACAAATACACAAACAGACTTACATTCATCCCACCACAAAACCAAGCTTCTCTGTTATAGGATATTAGGGTTCTACACATTCAGTTCCCTCGACACAATTTGCAGCCCACTATAACAGGATTTGGCTTAAAATTTCTGCATTACAACTGAATTTGCAAGGCCGGCCTGCTCTATTGTCTGAGTTGGATCGCTAAGAAGCTTAGGAGGGAATCCCATCATCTGTAGCTGATAATTCTGTGCTCCCCCAGGCCTAGATGCGTCAATAAACGCTCGTAGGTCATTCACAGTGTGATGGTAATTGAAGTTGGCAATCATGCGGGTTCCATCAGCCATTCTAAGCTGGACTGAAGTGGAAGGTAATGTCTCATCTACAACCACGCCCCTTGAGGGGGTTGGAACAACATTGAGATGGGTAGAAGAACCAATCACAGGTTCCGTCGCCACTGGGGTTGCTGCGCTCCCACCTAAAGTTCTGCCTACACCTTGAAATGCAACATGCGGCTGCTTCTCTGGTTCCTGCAAGCAAAAGAAAAAGACAGGTGAAGGGGAAACTTAGAACAGGTATGTGCAAGTGTTTAGAATGCAACACAAAGCTGGAGTGAAGTTTTCAACACCCTCAGCTGCAACAGAAAGAAACAGCTTTCTGCTAAAAAAACACATTTTGTTTCCTAAGTTCTTAACAAGATCTATTATACTGTGGAAGTCAGAATATGAACCTAACACCCTTAATAGAATAACTAAGTCAGCATCATTTGTATATCTCTCAGGAAGCATTTTGCTAAAAGTAGAAAGTGAAACCACAAGGAAGAAAGAGGAAAAGGACAGATAGGTAATTACCGGACACTTCTCATCCCTTTTAATCAGATTTACATGAACAGAGGACCTCCTATCTGCTGGCTCAAGCTCCTTTGGACACTGAGATTTGGTAATGCTCTGCAATAGATGGAAAGTCAGTAAAACTAGCAAAAGATTCATACATCACAATCTTGATAGTCAAACAAAAGTTCATAAAGACTATGTATCAAAATCTCACATCAAATGCATAGAACCAAATTTCCTATATTCACAAGGCTCTTTTAGCATTTCTTATATTTCCAGGCTCCTTTTAACATTTATAGATCAACATAGCATATTTCCCTAGCTATAATCATGCAAACATTACACCCGCCAATTCCCTGGCAGTCCCAAATAAGAATCTGGATATCTCAAGTGTACGGATCTCAGAACTACCAAATACGAAGTCACTAACCCAACAGATAGATAAAACACCATGGTTACTTGGAGAAAGATTATTCACATCGCTAGATCTCACAGAGGCCTACATTATAGTACCTCCAAGAAAGGTGCATTTTCGGGATCATCCAACCTCCGTAGAGGGCCATCATTCACAGTAAATCCATTGCTCCAGAAGATGATGTTATGAACAACAGCCTCAGGCTGCTGTGGAGTCAATTGCACAACTTCCCCAGAAAGTAATCTACCAGTTCCAGCAAAGCTCGTTGAGCTAGAGCCGGGGCGGAGATGATCGACAGGCCCTTCTACCGCTCCCAACTGCCGAGCTTGATTGAAGATTGAATCTACATCATTAACTTTCTGGGGATCTTGGACAAGCATGCCACTGAGATAATAACGAAATAAAATGTGTAAGTAACTTTTGAGTTCTCGCTTAGTCGCTTGTATACCCAATCAAATAACTTCATAAGAAAGAGAACAAGAACCAGCCTATTCTATTGTAGGCAACCCAAAGCACCACCGCAAGCTCAATTTGCTAGTTATACACCATGATTAATGGGGTCTCAGGCAAAGTCGTAACTTCTCCATAAGAAGCCAAAATACAAATTGAGTGGTAGATTATACTGCACTCAGCGACTAAAAATCACCCAATTGGATCTCCTCCCTTTTCTCCTTCCATTTCTTCTTAATACCCAACCAAACAGCCAAGGCCTAAGACCACCTTCAAAGGTGCATTGAATAGCCATTTGGATCACCGGAAATGAAAATTTTAACGAAAACTAAGCAAGTGAATCCAGGGGAAGGCCACGCGCATAAGAATAAAGGAGAATAGTTAGGGTTTGGGAAGAGACCTCTTCTCGCCACCGGTGTAGTACTCCTGAGGACCTTCTTCATCGCTATCGGAGTCGGGACCCGACCGTCGATTGAGATCGGACAGCGTGCGGATGCCGCCGGCTCTGCTGGTGGACGGTTTCGCCGGTTTCTTGTCCCGTGATGACATTTCTTCCGGTTGTTCTTTGATCGAAGAATCCCTATCGGGGCAGAAGCAAAGCAAGAAATACCTGCAGTCGGTTGGATTTATCCGCGGCAACGATCAACGCAGTTTTTGACATCCAACTAAGAGCGCGTGAATTGTACGCAGTGTTCCCTCCGCTTATCACGCTAATTTTGAGGTCAATTTTGCAAATGGTCATTAATGTTTGAGTAATTGAGTCATTAACAAAGTTTCAAGAACCTTGATATAACAACTTTGACACTGAAGTTTAGAATATTTTTTTTCGTTCAATGAAGTTTAGAATATTTACACTCCGCTCTCTGTCAAAATTTTCAACCAGATCATCTTATTTCCAAATTAATAATAGATAATCAATTATAAACACTCTGAATTTTTTTTGTTATTTAGAGGTGACGGCAAGCGTCTAGAGTACGAAGCCAGGGATCATAAGAAAAAGTGTCTCGAAAGCAGCAGACTAATGCCCAATAGAAAATAGGGGATAAGACTCGCGTAAAAGCGCTAAGGCGACAAACTCTGCTCCCAAAAAATCATCTGGCAGGGGAAGCTGAAGCTCCACATGTCATCCAGAAGAATTATTTGCAGCTCATGAAGGGGTTCTGCCAATTCATATCACCCTTAAGGGATAGAAGAAATTGTGCTTCGAGATCCTCTTCATCACTATAATCCCCTTGTGGTAAGTATGTTTCGGGCAAATCATCCTTTCTAGTGCTAGTTTCCGATGTATCTCACCAAGAATGGTTGAAAATGAGTGAATTGGGTCTGTACGATTGTTGATTAGATCAATAGCAAGTTTAGAATATGTTTCTACCTCCAGGAAGTCGATGTCATGTCTTAACCTTGAGAGATGGCCAAAATTTCGGAGGTAATGGTGGTTCCAGATCCTATCTATATTGTTCCTAAAAGGAGAGCATTGAACCTTTATGTAGGATTGTGAGATTTAAGATTTAGTTTCAAACTATCTATGGTTCGTGAGGGAATTTCAGTGAGTTTTTATACTTTATCTTTCTTGACAATCAACTAACCAATAACATTTTACCGGATACTTAATTATCATTATGAGAATGAGATCAATGATATGTTTTTATATTTCTTCAAATGTTCGATGTATATAATCTTTCTTTATGTATCATCTCGATCGAAAGATTGTCAATAAAATTAAACGGGTTGATAGACTTAAATGTAACATGAAAATATAAATAATCAAATATGAATATTTCGGCCAACGGGCCGGGTTATAAGCTAGTAGCATAGGATTTTAAAGTCCATGGATTTTATAGCAAGGTCAGGATCGAAACATGTAAGTAACATCATAAAATCATAAGATTTTAATATTTAAATTCAAATTTTGACTACTATGGTCGTAACAAATGTCAAGTCTAGTAGGCAACGATAGGGACCCTGCGGAAGTCGATGTTGTTTGATCGATTGAGAATCGATCATGTGCGCAATATCGTGTCCATTCTAATCCTACGCACGGAGTCGGGTTTGCGAATATGACCTTTGAAGTCAGTCATCATGTTAAGCATGCAATCAAATCTACAACGATCGAACATAAGAACAAAGCAGAAACAATAAGAATTAAATCATCGTATATATGCCAAAATTGATCGTTATATAGTCTAGAACCTCTAGGGTTTGTTCTCCATCACCGTTTCCCAAGGTCGCTACCACAAGTTTTGTATCGGGATCGAGTTTCATCCTCTTTAGTGTTTTTTTTCTTTTTGTTGAGCATGATCACAATTGAACCCAAATATATGGGTATCCTAACTTGAACACAAATCATCGCATTTGCCCACCATTCTGAAGCTCATCTCGAAATACTGTCGGCGGATTCCTAAGTTGTTTCCCACCATCGTTTCCCAAAGTCGCTACCACGAGTTTTGTATCGAGACCGAGTTTCATCACCTTTAGTATTTTTTTCTTTTTTTTCCTTTTTGTTGAGTATGATACTATGATCACAATTTAACTCAATGCCGCTACCGAAAATCCATACCATATCTACTCAATGTTGGCGAGTTTTGTATCGGGACCAAGTTATTATTATTATTATATAAAAGTCCAACATGTGAGTTACTATTCATTAGTGGCTCTCACACTCCTCCAAGTGCAAGTGGGGAAGTTCCAAGCTCTTTTTTTACCCTACTCTCCATTCTACAACCTTTGTGTTTACTTATTGTTCGCTAGATTTTCTTCTATGGTTTTTTGCACAAATAATCGCCTTTGTGTTTTGTTATTGTTTGCTAGGTTTTCGTCTATGACTTTTTGCACAAATCATCGCCTTTGCCCACCATTTTGCAGCCCATCTCGAAATACTGTCGGCAGAATTATTATATAAAAGTCCAACATGTGAGTTACTATTCATTAGTGGCTCTCACACTCCTCCAAGTGCAAGTGGGGAAGTTCCAAGCTCTTTTTTACCCTACTCTCCATTCTACAACCTTTGTGTTTACTTATTGTTCGCTAGATTTTCTTCTATGGTTTTTGCACAAATAATCGCCTTTGTGTTTTGTTATTGTTTGCTAGGTTTTCGTCTATGACTTTTTGCACAAATCATCGCATTTGCCCACCATTTTGCAGCCCATCTCGAAATACTGTCGGCGGAATCCTAAGTTGTTCCCCACCATCATTTTTCAAAGCCGCTACCATGAGTTTTGTATTGGGACCGAGTTTCATCCTCTTTAGTTTTTTTCTTTCTCTTTTTTCTTTTTGTTGAGCATGATCACAATTTAACCCAATGGCGGTATCGAAAATCCATACCATATCTACTCAATGTTGGCGAGTTTTGTATCGGGACTGAGTTTCGTTCACTTTAGTGTTTTTTTCTTTCAGTTTTTCCTTTTTGTTGGGGTCATGAGCGAGTTTTATCCGCTTTAGTATTTTTTTTATCCTTTTCCTTTTGGTTGAGAATGACAATTGAGTCTAAAGGCATGGGTATACAACCTAATTTGACCCGACCAAAGCGATTTGAACCCGATTTTACAGGTTTTCGATAGGAGCGAGTTTTATCTATTTTTTGTAATTGGCGTGTTGTATCAGGTGTAAACTTGTCCAAAACTCGGTCCAACTAGGTCAAAGCGAGTTGAACCTGGTGTTGACGAGTTTTGAGTCAGTAGCGAGTTTTAGCTTTAGTGTTTTTCATTTTGCTTTTTCCTTTTGTTTGAGAAATACAATTGAACCCAAATCCATGGGTATCAAACCTAATTTGAAAAGATTCAGAGAAGCTGCTTCATTCTGCAAAAGTTATAGCAGGATCAACTACTAGTCATACAAATTGAAACATTGGTGTCATGAAATAATTTTAATCTATTTGACGACACTTCTACCTTATGCAAGTTCATCGACCATATGCTATTGTAAATAACAAACCTATGAAAAGAATAATTAAGAATGAAATAAGAGATTACATTCACTTTTGGGTCAACATTAAAACTATTACTTTTTAAAATATTTATTTTTCTGATACACAGAGAATGATAACGAGCGGACTTTTGCTAATCTTAATTATTTTGCGCATTACATGTTAAATATCTTTGCTCTGTCCACCCACACATCTATATCTATCTATCTATCTATCTATCTATATCTATATCTATATCTATCTATCTATCTATCTATCTATCTATCTATATCTATACTATATATTATGGCAATTCAAAAGCAATCTCTTGCCACATAAGCACTTGGAGGATCCACAATTTGCCAAGTTGGACAATTATTTTACAAACAAAAAAATTTAGTTAACAATGTACTTATATAGCTACCTCTCTCTTCTTTAACATTTTCATTACTTTTATCCAATTATTCTTTTTTATTTATCTATTCTTTTTGGCTTTAATGATAAGTTACATGTTGATAAACTTAACCAAACACACATAAATAATAATTTTTTTGTCAAGTAAAAAAAATATAAATAAGAAAACAGAGAGTGACATATATTACATTTGCTTAAATAAAAATATATGATTAAACCTTATGAAGTAAATTTTGTACTCATTTTTACTAAAGTTAAATGATAAGTTACATTTTGATGAAAAATTAAACAGACATACACATAAACAAAATAATATTTTTAACGATTAAACAAAATATATACGAAAAGAGAGAAAATAAATATTTGACATTCAATTACCTTTGAAAAATAAACTATATTACTTTATATTTTGTTGCAATGAAACACTCTTTTATTCGTAAAGTATTTGTCTATAAAATAAAAAAAGTATTATTGAGCCAAAATGTCATAGTATAATCTTGATCGAGTAGTTACAGTTATTTATTTAAAAAAGACTTCTTATTCGTGAAGATAATGTTCTACACTAAACTTCTCAAATGAAGAGGAATCGCAGGTGCAATAATTTTATAATGTGTCATATGTTTACAGTAATAATATTTGCTCTATATCAGGTTGATTGAGCAAGCTCTATTGAGGTCCTAAGTCGTATGCTAAGAAATTTTCTTTCAGACTTAGAGTTATCGTCGACAATTATAAATCAAAATGTTCAAAATGACTTAAGTATGATTGTTGAGGAACTTTGACTTCAAACCCTAAGCTAAGACACACGATTCCTTGAAAAATAAAATATATGCGAAGGTTAGAGAAATCTTTGTTAAGAATCTACGATAAACATCACGTTTTATCAACTACTAACCTAGACATTTACCAAATAAAGGTTGACAGTTTTTAGTAAGATAGCCAATTGGGATAAACATATTTATCCAATAATCTCAACTTCTCACTAATCTTTACAACATTGGTCGAGAGTTCGTCCAAAATCTAGGATCATGAATGTGTATTGGATTCCAAAGGACCTAAAATCCCAATCCCTTTCGGGTGCTAAATGCCTCTGATCACAACCATAGGTGCCAAAGAAGAATGAAAGAAGCCCAAAAATAGCAAAAAAGAACATAACCTCCGTTACGACGAACAGAATAACACCATATCATCAAACTATGATGTCATTCCTACCATTTTATTCTCCATAAAGAGGGCGGCGGGAGAGGATAAGATATAAATAGCAGGATCTTAGGAGTTGCCTCTTTATATATGACATATAGAATGATAGACAACCCCAATGGTTGTCTGATGTTATGTGGGCAAAAGAGGGATCTCTATCCCGGGGGTGGGGGTAGGCAAGTAGTACTTTTAATATGAGTATATTATGCGAGATAAGATAGGTCTGACGAAGTATCTTAATAATTTTGATCTACTACACACACACACACAAATATATATAATATCAAGGTATACTATGCTTTTGATTTTCCGCAAGATAAGATAGAAGATAGGTATGACGAAGTATGTGGATAAATGAGAGGTTAGAGAATTAGGGATTGGAGTTCACATATTAGAGGTTAGGGTATAATATCATGCCCCAATAAACTCATGTTAATTCGAGGTTTAAATAGTAAAACTCAATGGTCGTATGGTAGTGTGAATGCAAGAGTATAGCGTACTCTTGGCCCACGCTCGGTTGAACTAAGTGTGTGTGTGTGTGTGTGGTGTATTCGGTGCACGCACTTTTTTGGGTGCATTCAATGCATTCGCCTCATAATCGTCATTTCGAGCATGTGATTCATGTCAAAATGGTATCAATCATCGCTTATGGTATTATGAACAAGAAACGCATGAATTTGCAAAAAAACATTAAAGATTGTCTTAAATTTGAAGGATTTAGGATTTAGAAATTTAGGGTTAGGTTTAGGGTTTATAATTTGGGATATTGGGTTTGTTTTCAAAATTGAAGGTTTAGGGGTTAGAGTAATGGATTGATTAGTTTTGACCACGTGTTATATCATATCATACTAATGTTACCAATTAAAATCCAAAATTTGATGTCTTCAGGCTACTTTTTGAGATGAGACGTGACAAGGCATAATTTATGATTAGAAAACCGAAGCATCACAAGTGAGTGTGCTAAATATTGGAAATTTTCAATATAGACATACTACAAACTCTGTTATGAATCAAGAACACAAAATATTAGAAGATCCAAATGATTTAAACATATAAATTATAAAATAAATCTCTCCGGCCAACGGGCTGGGTAAAAAGCTAGTTCAATACACTTGTCATCCTGATTATGGAGTGCATTAGCAGCGTAATCACGCTGGGAAGAGGAAGCAGTGCACAACCATTATAGGAAGAGGAAGCAGCGTAACCATCCCATTTTGGGAATTGCAATGGTCATCCTCGCTCGCTCCCATCAAAACGCCTCCCTAATTCCGACCTTCCTCTTCAGTCTTCCCCTGCCTTATAAATACGCTTTCCCCTGTCATTCTCAGTCACAGCAAACCCCAACAAATGGCGACCCGGAAAGTCACCCTGAAGCTCCTAATCAACAAGAAAACCAAGAAGGTACTCTTCGCCGAAGCCGGCAAAGACTTCGTCGATTTCCTCTTCACCCTCCTCTCCTTCCCGCTAGGAACCGTGATTAAGCTCCTGTCAAGAACAAAATGGTGGGTTGCTTGGGGAATCTGTACGAGAGCATCGAAGAGCTCAGCGACACATTCTTCCAGCCCAACCTGGGCAAGGCCACGGTTCTGAACCCGAAACTCCCCTCCCGTCCAAGCGGCAGCACCCTTTTGTTGTCCGACGGCGGCGAAAATGATGGAACGGGAGCAACCAGGAAGTTCTACGTGTGCGAGAATAATGGTTACCATAGGAATGTGACTGATAACCCGCTGGCTATTTGTTCTCAGTGCAACTGTAGGATGAGAACCCAGGTTTCCTTCATCACTGCCCCTTCTGCTGCTGGGAATGATGGAGCAGGGGATGTGAACAGTCAAGAAGGTGGGTTTGTGAAGGGAGTCATAACTTACATGGTGATGGACAATCTGGAGGTTAAGCCGATGTCTACAATCCAGCATTACTATGTTGAACAAGTTCAACATTCAGGAAGTTGGTGCCCTTGAGGAGAAGGTCATTGAGCTTGGAGTGGACGAGGTAGCCCATCTCTCGGTTTTTTGGACAGAGGTACGTAGTTAATTAAACCCGTATTCTGATTCTTCTGTTTGTTGTTTTTAGGGGCTGGATCTGCTTAAGGCCTCTTTGCAGTCCCAGACAGTTCTGACAAGTGTTTTCCTTGGAGCATGAAGTGGTGGCCGGTTCAGGGATTAGTTCATCTTCTCCAATATTGTTGCAATGCTGGAAATGGGTTTCAATTTGGGTTTGGTTTCGCGAGTGATTCTAGTATTCAGTCTTGTTACATTTTAGTTGAGAGTGCGCCTTGTTCCACTTCAAGGCTAGCTATGTCATGATTTGAATGAATGTTGTCTAATTTTGCTTCTATGATTTGGTTCCTGCAAATATAAAATCATTGGCATCAACAGGGCATATGATCCCATGGTATTTTATAGGCTCTGGTTTTGGAGCTTCATATTCGAATTTGCTTAAATATCACCTAATTATAAAAGTAAATCCATATCATCCTTATAAACAAGAAATAACGTATGAATACAAGCTGTTCATACAGATCAGATGAACAAATTTAAAATTACATAAATCAAATCATAAGTATAAATTACCGTGAGTAAGGTAACGGAATCAGGTTGAAACTAGAAAGGCTTGTACGCCCTTCACATAGATAAAACATATGTAAAAGAAACACACATATATTTTACAATCTACTTGTGCTAGTGCTACTACACATTACACTTAGGGCATGTTTACTTTCATTTTTGTTTCCTGTTTTTTAAGAAAACAGACGTTGAAAACAAGTGAAAACAACATTATTTTCGTTTCCGAAAACAACAAGAAGTTGCTGTTTTCATAGTTGGAAACGAATAGAAAACGAAATGAAGAGTAAACAAGTTTTCTCGTTTCGGTTGCCAAATCTATGGCATGAAAAATAGGAAACAAAAAATGAAAATGAACATGCCATTAATTATTTTAACATTTGTGAAACAAAAGAAACAACCAAAGCACCCACCCACTCAAAGCTGAAAGCACCCACGGACTTTGAGTGGAAAAGACGTCTGAAATATTTGTAGCTGCACCCTCACAGGCTCAACAAAACATCTTTCATCACCTCTCTACTCCTACACAAGGCCTCCAACGGCTCCAACTTAGGCATAGTCAGCCCGTGACCTTCCGACATGTCCAGCAACTCCTCACCAATCCTCTCCCACTCAAAGCACTGAATCAAAGCACCCACGGCCACGCTCACCGCCCGGCTCGCCAGCCCCGAGCCAGGGCACGACCTTCTTCCCATGCCATACGACAACAATTTATAACCATCCACCCCCCCCGCTCCTCCTCCTCCTCCGTGTCTCTCGGGCCGAAACCTCGTCGGGTCTTTCCATATCGCGGCGTCTCTATGAATAGCCCATGCATTGATCAGCAACATGGTTCCCTTGGCAATGGAGTAGCCGCCGACGGTGCAGTCCTCCGACGATTGGTGCGGCATTAGGGTTGGTGCCGGTGGATACAAGCGGAATGTCTCCTTGATGATGAGTTGTAGGTACGGCAAGTTGGGGCAGTCGGACTCTTCTACGATTCGGCTGTTGCCGACGACGTTGTCGATCTCGGTTCTGGCTTTGCTGAGGATTTCTGGGTGGTTGAGTAAAGCTGCCATCACCCATTCGATTAAGGTCGCCGTGGTGTCTGTTCCGGCGAGTATAACTATCTACAGAGAGAGGAAGATTATAAAAATAAGTAAGTATGTAATAACTACGTTTCTTTTAGGAGATAATATGAGCGTTTCTACTATGCTTTAAAGTATTGGTGCTTTAAAGTACAACTTTATGTTGTACCATAATGTTAAAGGTACAAGTTAGAGTTGTACTGTTAGGAAATTTGATATTTTTGTTGTGGTACAACTTCAAGTCTTCAAGTTCTACAACTTTAATTTGTACCATAAAATGAGTTTACAAAAGAGTATATGTACAACCTAAAGTTCTACTATAACGTTAAAGGTACAACTTCAAGTTGTACTATAAAAGCAAAAACTAAAGTACCAATGCTTAAAGCATTGTAAAATTCCTCTGATAATATATCATTTATGTGAATGAAATTTCAATACGATTCCAGCTAAAGGCTAAAGTCGAGTGCCAAAATCAAAATATAACACCTAGTAATCAATGAACTACGTACTAAATAAAAAGCGTATAACTCTAAAATGAATATTATGCTTAAATAAATTCTTAGTATCTTAAATTTTTATAAAACCTTCTTCTGATTACAGCATGCTGCATGCATTAAAAAACATTTGTAAATGGATAAACGTAAAGATATACTCCAATTTGTAGTTTATGTATAGAACCTATATATCATTTATTAATATCACAAATTTACTTGTATACATATTATTTCTAGGGTAGCAATGGATCAAGTCTGCAGCGGATTGTGAGTATCTATTACTATACCCAAAATAGTTTGGATTTTATCCACACTCAGCATACCAGCAAGAATCGGGTACAAAATAAATAATAAAAACATGTCTATTTCTGATCGAATTTAGAGTGTTAATGGTTATAATCTATGGATAATTTCTCTTTATAACTGCAATCAACATATTAGCATTCACACGTATACGAACATTTAATAAGAGAAAAATACAATAATAAATCACTAAAATGAAGAAAATTAGTAAAAAAACAACACAATTTCATAAAAATATTATATACATAGACTAAATATCAGATATGTTAAGAAAAATTATGACCATTTATAGACAAATTACATATGCATTCATATAATTAGACGGGTTCGGGTTGGATTGTGAGAAAATCATGTCCAACCACTACCTGCAATATTCTGATTCTAATTCGAGTTTTACTCATAACCATTAAAAAAAATCCAAATTCAAATTTTACTCTAGTCGATTGGTCTGGTTCGGGCAGGTATTCGTTTTTATCCCAGTCACTCTTATAAATTATATAATGAAATCAATCTATTCTTTCACACAGGATACTACGTGGCATGATTATCATCAGCATTAGCTTACCATAGCCTGGCCTTTGATGACATCATCGGTATACGTTTCAGGTTCAGATTCCTGCAAAGACAACATAGCATCAATCATCGTCGTCTTCCTCCCACCGCCGCCCTCCTCCCTCGGCTTATTACTCCGATGCTCCTCAATCAAACGCTGGAAGAAAGCATCGCTCTTCCCCTGAGCCCGCCACATCCTCCTCTCCAGCCCTCCATAACCAATCCACCTCAGCACCGGCAAGAAATCCCCCGGATTCGACGTGGCACTCAGCTCCAGCACCTCACCTATCAGTTCCTTAAACCTCTCCCCTTCCTCCGTCGATGACTCATCATCGAAATACCTCTTCCCGGCGACCATCCTCATCACCATGTTCATCACCAGCCCCACCAACCTCGACCTCATCGCCACCTTGGTAAAACCCGACCAGACCTCGCCAGTGGCGGAGTCAGGTTCTGTCACGGGACACATGTAAGTTTTATTAAAACGATAAAATCGCAATGTATAAATATGGAAAGAAATTGAACTAAACGATTTAATGTGTCGCATAATTTTTTTTTCAATCGAAGTATTTTATATTTTAAAAAAAAAAGACACACCTAATTTCAATTTCTGACTTTGCCGCTGCAGGGCGCTGACGAGGCGCCTGACCTCGTCGCGACGGACGTGGAGCGAGGCGTTGAGCCGGTCGGCGGAGAGGAGCTCGACGGTGGAGAAGCGGCGGAGGTTGATCCAGTGCGGGCCGTAGGGGGCCGTCCCCAAGGTGGTGTAGTTGTAGGCGAAGATCTTCCACCCGATGAGGTCGTCGGGCCGGTTGGCGAAAACGAGGTCGTTTTTGGCGAGGCATTCCTCGGCTAAGGAAGGGGACGAGATGACGACAACGTTGCGGGTGCCTAAGGCGAGGGAGAAAACGGCGCCGTACTTTGTTGAGAGGGCTTGTAGAGTTCTGTGCACCGGTTGATTCAGGAGATGGAGGTGGCCGATGAAAGGAAGGGAAGGCGGGCTCGGCGGGCGGTCTGTGCGGCGTCGTTTCCGTGAAATTAGGAGCTTGGAAGTGATGACGATTGAGAAGATTGTGGCTAGGAAGGAGAGAGCAGTCGCAAATATTGCGTCGTTCATTTTGGTGCTGGCTTTGCGGTTGCAACTTGCATGTGTGGTTTGTGAGCTATGGTGTATGGTGCACATGGTATTTTATATTGGGTTATGAAAGTTTCCAAAAAAAGAACAACTACTCACGTCCTATAATATGATTTTTGTGTTCAACTTGGAAAGAGTAATAAGACAAAATAATTATTGCATGGGGCTGCGGCAAAATAATTGTGTTTACCAATCGATTTGGGTTAATTGCATGGTTGGTCATTGAGATTACAAAAGACGTTCAAATTTGGTCACTCGAAATATTTAAATTCATTGGTGGTACTTCAGTTTATTGAAACCGTTCACGTTTGGTCACCCTCCGTCCAACTCCGTTAACTTTGGCTGATGTGGGAGTCAACTCTCAAAATTGACCGTTAACTTAGTGACGTGATAATTAAGAAATAATAAATAAAATAAAATTTCATCTATTTTAATGTCCAGCTAATTTTTACCATAAAATAAATAAAAAAAATATTATAATTGTTATAATATTGCTACCCGCAATGCTTCACCTCGACCATCCACTCGATCGTCGTGCTCGCATTGCTCGGATTCCGTTCGGGAAACTCCGCCAGCTTCACGCCCCCGAAATTGAAAATCCTATCGTCGGCCAGAAACGCGAAATCGCAAGGATTGGAGTCCAAGATGTCGATGTGGTTCGTAGCCATTAGCAACTTGAAGTCCAGCGTCTTAATCCCTGTGAAATCGAGCTATGGCAGCACCCGATTCCGGAGTAGACACCCGATTGGTTGAAACAGTAGTCCTTCATCGGACCCATAGGCGGAGGGAGAGGGTTTGGGATGTGTCCCAGGACATGTGTTAATTTTGGTAAAAAATTAACACATTCCTATATATATTTATGAAAGAGATAAAATATTCAAATTCATCACATTGATATAGTATAAAAAGTATTTTATCATTACAATGAAGCTCAAGTTTTGTTATTTGATTGATATAAAATTAATTTATACGCTGTAAATGAAATCTTCAATTGAAATAAATCTCTATTTGGTTTCTTTTTTCTCAATTATTCTATTCAATTTTGTCCAGGAACTATGAAGTCTAAACAGAAGCCTCTGCTACTAGGCTCTCTCTTTTCTAGTCCGCTAGTTTACATTCAATTTTAATTTTAAATATTAAATAATTATTTATATATTTATATTTTAAAAAGAGGATACACCTAGTTTTACAACCTAGTTCCGCCACTGATCGGACCGGTCTGGTTGTAGCAGCTGTAGGCACCCTCAATAGCCGGAGAGGGTGCCTTCCTCAATTGAGATGTTGGTGACGAGGATGTTGCCGAAGAAAAGTTCAGGTGGTGCGGCGGCGGCGGTGGCGGAGGAACTGTAATTTAGGAGGAAGGCGTCGGAGAATGCACATTTGGGGAGGATTGGAAAATCGGGTTCCTAAAAAGGGTAATTCCCCAGATCCCCTTGTCAATTCTTAACTCCGTAATCGCCATCTGCAAACTCTCCACCGACCTTTAAATCCTTTCGATTTGATAATTATATTATATTATTTATTTATTTTATAGTAAATGAGTTGGACATTAAAATATATTAAATTTTATTTTATTTATTATTTCTTAATTGCCACGTCACTAAGTTAACGGTCAACTTTGAGAATTGACTGTCATATCAGTCAAAATTAACGGAGTTGGACGGAGAGTGACCAAACGTGAACGGTTTCAGTAAACTGAAATACCACCAATGAATTTAAATATTTCGAATGACCAAACTTGAACGTTTTTTACAATTTCAGCGACCAACCATGCAATTAACCCATGCAGATTTGTTAGTTGTCGTTTCCTTTAAACAATGACCAATGAAAGAGATGAATTATATAAAAGACATTGTGATTTCTTACGTTGATTCAATCATATTGGGTAACTTACATCTCCTGTTGTTGGTTAAGTATCGTTTGTTTTCTTTCGTGGATTTGGATCAATTATGGATTTAAGAGAAATTCATTGTTTGTTTGCACATTTTTAGAGATTAAATGCATGAGGTCCACGAATTTTAAAAGTCCAAATCCATGTATCTCACGGACTTGTAAATTCCACATGTTGATGTGGAATTTGGAACATACCATAATAAATTCATGATGAGATTTTACCCATGCATATACCCTCGTGACGTTTTAATATGTCAAAGTTACCCTCACATTTACCTATTGTAAATTATAATTAATCAAGTAATTAACAACAAAGAAATAATATAAACAATCAATTAATGTGCAAACATGAGTTAGATTTTCTATGTCATTTCTGGTGTTCTAGTTTTCTTTGACCTTTTGATGGAACGTGGAATTCTTTGTTCTCTCGGTTCTTACATATGTTGCTATATGTTACTTTTGAAAAGGAGGCAAAGAATTGATAACTGATATATGTTACGTTAAAAGTTAAATGAAATTTCTCCGTTTATTATTGTTATTGTCCTTGTAGCAACGTTATGCTTATTAGTATGTATTGTCCTTGTTTTGTGTGGATATCATAAACATAACAAACAAATAGCAAAGGATAGTATGGTGATTTTGGACTTTAAGTTCTAAATTCCAAATCCTCATGATAAAACATCTCAACAAACAAAGTATTGTTACAAATTCATAATGTCTCAAATTTTTATAAATCTTGAATTTTTAAATTACATAAACCTCGTTTTTAAATTACCAAATTATTTTTTCTCCACATATGTGATAGAGGGAAAACATCGGTACAAGGTGGTAATTAGGGGTGGCATTTTTGTCAATTGTAAATAAAATCTTCCTTTGCCTCTACTGGTTTTCTCCCTCTCTTCTAAAAACATTCTCCTCCCCCGGTATCGCATATGGCCTCCATATTGTGTGGGAGCTAGGAGTAAGGAAGGTCTGGCTACAGACAGATTCGAAGACGGCGGAGTCGATCATACAGGCCTATCGAGCAAACCATCCCCATAGCACGATGTCCGCAGCTATCAAGCGCTTACTGGCCCGTGATTGGGAAGTCAGGATCGAGCATGTGTTCCGTGAGAGCAATTACGTTGCAGATGACATGGCCTCTGTCGACCATTCTTTGTCTATTGGACTCCATGTATTAGAGCACCCGGGACCTAGATTGAGATACTGGCGGTTGATTGACATGATTGTGGTACAAACACCCCGTTTGATTAATGAATAAGGGTTAGATCGCAGAGAGCGCCCCTCTGCGCTCTGTTTCTCACAAAAAAAAGCATTCTCCTCCCCAAATGTCGACGAAAGTCTCTCTCTCTCCATGCAATGGCAGAACTTTTGTACGTGCCTTCGGTGGTGGCAGATCCATCACTGTCGCCACTGAGGCACTGACTCTCTCTTCCCGACAATCTGATTCAATACCACAATCCTCTTTCTACTGTCATTCATCATTTTGTTGGTAGTGTCGAAGTCATGACTCATCGTTCACTTCTCTCTCTTACCCTCTCCCATATAAAATCATGTTTTGTAAAAGAAAATCATTTGAAACTTTAGTAAGGAAAATGAAAGAAGCGAATTACTATCATACCCTCATTCAAAGCAGTCAAAATCGGGATTTTAAGTAACATCGGAATCATAAAATCGAAAGATTTTAAGGTCCATATAAAAACAAAGACGAAATAATATTAATAAGGAAAATCACGAATAGCACAAAAATATATAACACTTACAATGATAATTTCACAAGGTTAGTGTTCCCATTTAAAAAGTTTAATGTTAAGAGGTGGTGAATCGATGATGATTAATACGTTGATGTGAATATATGATGGTCGATGGTGGGTAGTGTGAGAGAATTAGATGATGTTGGTGGAGGAGAAGGAAAAGAGGCGCAATTATATAAATTTTGGGGAAATAAGTAAAATTGACTCAAAGATTTGAATCGTAAAATCGTAAGATTTTAAAGACTTTAAAGATTTAAACCGTGAATAGTGTAGGATTTTAAGGTCCATAGATTTTATAGTGAATTCAGAATCGAATAGGTAAGTAAAACCGTAGAATTTTATGATTTAAATCAGGATTTTGACTACTCTGCCCTCATTGTAATTAAGTTGGATTTAGCATTAACATTAAAACCTGAAAAATACTTGGTTGTCGTTCACTTGGCCACATCTCAATCGTTAGTCACAACTCACATGGTCCAAATCTGGTTGGAATTTTCCCCAATATACCACCCAAAACTAAAAAATTCAAACATACCACCCTTTCTCAAAAAATTCATTTGTACCACTGTTTCACAAGGACCGCAACCCCCTATGTCGTTTTACAAAATGAATGCCCGGAGGGGGGATTTCATTTTGTGAAATAACTGCAGGGAGTTACCGCGGTTATCTTGCTGACCCATATAGAACTACATGACCCCCCAACGGTTTTAATTTAACCTAGGCTGGAACTTCAAACGAATGTAACTTTATCCGATCGTAGCGAAGTTACGTTCGTTTGAAGTTTCAGTCTATGTAAGGCATTCATCGGGGGAAAAACTTACAGGCAAACCGCGAGGGGTGGCAACGGTTTGGCCCGGATAACTGAGGTAAAGCACAATAAATCTTACCGTAGCGACCCAACGCGGTCTGTAGGCGGCAGGAACAGAAACCGCAGCCTCCCTACGGTCCTCGTTTAAACTATGGGGGTTGGGGTTCTTGTGAAATGGTGGTATAGATGAATTTTTTTGGGAAATGATGGTATTTTTGGAAATTTTTAATTTTTAGGTGGTATATTGGAAAAATTCCAATATGGTTTCGTAAGGTTCAACTGAAACTGTTTTAACTTTTAATTATCATGATTAAGGTGGTCGTTTAAAGCTATTAACTCATTGAGTAAACAGTGGTGGAGGGAGAGTTTGAAACTAGCGGTGTTCTCTTTTCAACGTATAAATAATATTATTTAATAATTATAATTAAAATTAATAATATCCAAATAATTCATTCATACATAAAGAAATAATCGTCAGGGTGAGAATGTAAATGCTTATTATAGAGTAGCGAGAAAAGCACTCGATTTGTTTCCGATGGGATGTTATTATTTTGATTTTGACGCTTTGTTGCACCATTTGTAAGAGGCTTGCTATTTGCCGCCAACTAAAAAAATGTATATATGTACATCTTTGGTTAAGAAGTTTCACAATCTACAACATATTCAACTTTCAGAAAACGTATTGAATCAGAAAAATCGACGCTCGCCGGAAAAGTCGTCGGAAAACCATCGGGAAAGTCCATCCTCGACGTAAACTGCGGACACGCATCCATGAATCATCACTAAGCAGGTGCGTCAATTTTTTGTAGTTTCGAACAATTTTTTCGACCATTTGCAACGAACAGACGGTGGGCCGGAAATTTTCGGCCCATCGTCTGTGTTCGGAAATTTTTTGGAAAAATTCGATTTTAGGAGTTGAATTTAGCGTTTATGAGTTGAATTTAGCGGTTAAGACTTGAAATTAGCGTTTAGGTTCACAGGAATATTGATGTGTTATATTGTAATTGTAGGAAAAATGTCAGAGTGGTTACCGACCAATCATGATTACACACATGAATTTGAGAATGGGATCCATTATGCAAGTGTGAAGTTAGCTGAGTTAGCTGCAAAAGCAATCGCTCAGGAGTGTGGGTTCTTTATTGTTAGAGGAGCATGGAAACCGAATACTGCTGGACTACATCCTGTTACTGCCCTCTGTATGTATTGCGACAGAAGCAGTAGGATCGTTAAGTCTTATAAACCAGACCCTACGAATGAGACGCGTGGGAATATTAGTTCGAAGGGCTCTGGTTTCCAGTTTCAGATATGTATTAAGGAAGTATGGCAAAAGAATGGTCCAAACACATGGGTCATAGTGGGAGTCACAAGTCGTGTAAACGGAGCTAATAGAGGGTTTCACAACCATGAAAAGGTGTTGTATTCAGAACATCACCGACACAACAAACAGTTTAGTGAGGCTGAAAAAGAGAGGTTAAGATTAATGAGGAAGGCGGGGGTGAGACTAAATCAGCAGAAGACGACACTCAATATTGAAGGGGGTGTGAATCATGATATCAAACAGATGCAGTATGCGGTAGCACATGCGGTATGGAAGAAATATTTCAACAAAGCTGCATGGAGTTAGACTCAGGAGGGTTTTCTTCAAAAGATTAATGAGTTTGAGAGGGTCTGGACACAAAAGAACATAAAAATGGTCGACTACGTGCGAGGTGAGTGGTTGCCTCATCAGACAATGTGGGCAAAGTGCTACACGAACCATGTGTTTCATCTTGGTAACACGAGCTCGAATAGAGTTGAGTCATCTCACTCTTCATTCAAGACTTTCCTTATGTCTGGTAGATGAGCGATTGACACTTGTTTTGCGAAGAACCACAACTACATGGAACGTCAGTTTCTGGAAGTGGTGAATGAAATGCACAAGTCACTTAACCGCAATCTGAGTAGGGCAATTGAGCCTCCGTGCACGTTTTTGAGGAGGGTCGTTAGTTGTGAGGCAATCAAACTGATGTCTGATGGAAAGGTGTCCAAAACACATCAGAAGGGGTCAAGCTGTCAAGAGCTCGACGGTAGAACGCCAACCTCACACAGGGATCAGCCACAGAACCAGGTGCCGGCTGTCCAATCCATCGTGAAGCCCAAGCCTCATCAGGTCCAACGACAGGTGGCTCAAAGTGAGATGGTCTGAAACCCTGAAAGTACTCGTAGATCCAACATTGCAGAAGTGTGAGACAACCAGCCACCCCCTAGCACCAGCACGAGACGCCTGACCAAGGTATCTATACAACCAAGCAAGTGTACCTGACGCCCAACTGTACTGATCTATCTCCTCCAACTCGTCCAAAAATAGGTTCACCACCGGCCGAACCCTGTCTCTACTCTTGTTCACAAACAAAGTGGACCCCAACAGCAACAACAAGTACGACTGCGCCTCTGTCACATGTGTCTCGTTCACCTGCCAGTATTTGGACGCCATCTCCGCAAGAAAACCACCCTTCTCGTACCACTTACCCCTATTACCATATCTAGGGGCCTCCGAACGACCACTCAACTGCTCCGAGTTCATCCCAAGAAGCGCACACAAACCCACCTCCGGATGGTCAAGCTGCGCAGAAGTCCTACTCATCAGTCGTCCCTCAACAGGAATCTGCAGTAAGTACTGAACATCGTGGAGGAGGATCGTCATCTCTCCAAAAGGCAAGTGGAAGGTGTTCGTGTCTGGCTGCCACCTCTCCACAAAAGTTTAGATCAAAGCCTCGTCAATCGCTATCTTGCGAAACATAGAGTAGATCAGGTGCTGGAGACCTGACTCCTGAACCAGATCCTCCGCCTCAACATGACTAAACACGTAGCTACCCAGATAATCAACCGCCGATGTACGGCTGTAGGCTGTAGCAACTGATGACCCCTCGATCTCCAAGCCTCGTCCAAAGCGCATAGGAAGCGTGGCCACGGAAGCTCCTAATGAGGCTAGGATCCGTAGGTCCACCAGGACACTCACCAACAAGCTCCCACGGTGGAGGACCACTAAAACGTCCTCCCCTACTCCGTCCAGTCCCCGAGCTCTCTGTCTCCTCACAAGCAGGTGGTACGAACCGTCCAGCTCGGTCCCTATACATAGCAGGACGTGATGTTGTCGTACAAGACGGCACTCGTCCATGTCCATGCGTAGGTGGAGGGACCTCGATATCCTCATCAATATCGTCCTCATCAAACTCAGCCGAGACCACTCTCGATGCAGCACCCTGGTTCCTCCCATGGGAACCAGACGCCCGTGATGCCGAACGAGCAACTACAGTAGGAGCCTCTAATTCATACTCCCCTAAATTTGCCTCTAACTGATATCCAATATCTCGAGAGCGCTTCTTCTCCTTATTCTTCTTAGGCACCTTCCTTCGTGTTGATGCATCAACAATCCTACCATTGAATCTATGCAACTCACTCCCACTCGCATCATCCATATCTAATTATCTACAAATTTACACAATAACATACTTAGATGCGCACTAATTAATTAAATTTCTATTAACTAATGTACTATTAACATTAATTGTTAATTAATCACAAGTTAATTAATTTTCTATTAACTAATGTACTGAATATTAACATTAATTGTTAAATCAATTCTTAATTAATTAATTTTCTATTAACTAATGTACTGAATATTAACTTTAATTGTTAAATCAATTCTTAATTAATTAATTTTCTATTAAATAATGTAAATAATTAAACATTCATACCCCTATTACAAAAAAAACATTTATACACCAACTTAATAAATATTAACACTAATTGCTAATTTCTATTAACTAATTAAGTAATTTTTTATTGACTAATTAATTAACATATTAAATTAAATGCAAAAACCGGGCGGGCCGAAAAAAACTGTGGCCGGTGCATCGCTGGGCCGGAAAAATTTTGCGGCCGGTGCGCCGCCGGGCCGGAAAATTTTTGCGCCAGGTGCGCCGCCGGGCCGAAAATTTTTTGCGGCCGGTGCGACGGCCGGCCGAAACTCTTTTTCGGCCCGCCGTCGCCCCAGCCGTAATTCTTTTTTTCGGCTGGGCGTCGCACCGGCCGAAAATTTCTTTCTGCTCGGCGGCGTTCCGGCCACAATTTTTTTTTCGGCCCACCGTGTTTTTCGCCGGAAAATTGAAAAACTTGCCGGAAAAAGTAAACTTACTTGTTTTCCGACGATTAAGGACGACGGGAGGTTGGCCGGCGACGGAGGAACGGTGCCGGCGACGAAGGCACTGGGCTCGTCGACAAAAGTGTTTTTGTTGGAATGAGTCAAATGTTAATGGTATCCGAATATATAGAATGAAATGAAGGGAAGGAAGGGAAAATTCAAAATTTGAATTCAAAATTTTTTTTTTTTTAGTTGGCGGCAAATAGCCGTTCACATTTGTAACTCATCGTTGGACAAGATTACCTCTTCAGTTCCTGGGAAAAAATAGAATATGACTTAAGGAGAAAATAGATTGGTTTAGAGATTTATTCCAATTGGAAATTTCGTTTATAATTGTTAATGAATTAGTTTTGTTTCAATAAAAAATCAAGTAATGCGATGTAATATGGTGGTAGAACACTTGCCAACAATCTCAAGATAGTACGTTCAATTTTGATGTTACATATCAAGGTATTTAATTTTGTCCCCAAACCTTACCGGTGTCCGTGACCATGCCTATATAGGGAGCAGATCAGGTGAGTAACCTTGTGGTGAGTAACCATGAGTAACCCGTCCACATCAGCATGATATCAGCATCCTCTCTCTCATGGAAAGCCTTTAATTTTTCCCTCTTTAATCTTTGACGGACGATTTCTCGCTCATTTTAAGTCGAAATTTAATTTTTTTTGCACAGTTAGATCAGATTAATTGTGCTCTTCAAAATGATATCCACTTTAATATATTTTTCAAACAAAAAAAATTGAGCCATTTTTTTCCAGCCTATACCATATGGTATTGACTGGTATTGAAATAAAAGCATACCTATGTTTTGAAAAACGTACCATGGTGGTATGAACAAACTAATACTGTAGGATGGTTGAATACATGATAGTAGAAGTATATTAATTGTAATTTACGACTTTTAACATTGTATACCACACAATACCACCCCGTACCAGGGTGGTATTGTATGGTATTGTGTGGTATTTTTTGGTCCTGTAATTTGTTCACCATAAATTTGTAGATCCAATAGATCATGATGAACTCGTCCCTTCTGTGCAAACGTTTTCAAAAACGAATTAAAAACGAAGAAGATACCATACAATACCACCCCGTACCAGGGTGGTATTGTATGGTATTGTGTGGTATTTTTTGGTCCTGTAATTTGTTCACCCAAAAATTTGTAGATCTAATAGATCATGATGAACTCGTCCCTTCTGTGCAAACGTTTTCAAAAACGAATTAAAAATGAAGAAAATACCATATGGTATGCAGTTGGTATCGAGATGCCAGAATTTTTTTTTCTCAAAAAATATTTAAAATTGATCTCATTTTGTAGAGCACGATGAACTCGTTCCACCTGTGCAAAAAAATTTAAAATCCGAGTTAAAACGAAAAAGATATGAGCCGATTAAGAAAGCTAGAGAAAATAAAAATGTCTTTAATTTTCCATCCTTAGATCTGGATTTTCTAAATGAAGGGTTCAGATTTGGTTATTGATGGGTGCATAACCCATGGTTATGCACTCTATCTTGAGCCGCCTATATAGGCTAGCTCCGCCTATGCGAAAACAATGGAAGTAGTAGGATTTTTTTTTAATGCAAACTGAAGTATGTGATTGAACAGCATTTGGGCGTGTTTGGATAAAAAAATTTGGATTTGCTATTTGAAATTGGAATTTTTAAATACTAGATCATTTGTTTGAATATTAATTACATATGATATTTGAAATGCACCTATGACCTCTCACCCTAAGTTGATAGATATACGTGTGTATAAAGCTATTAACCGTTGGTTCAAGCAGAAGATTATTGAAGATATGATAGTCCCATACTCCCATCCCATAAGGAATGACAATCAAACTCATGGCCGCGGGTACCCGACCGCCCCCGATCCAGTCAACGCGAGGAATCCCCGTTTTGACCGGGTATGGGGCGGGTATGGATAAAAACCCGCAAAAAGTTTGATGGGTATGGGGCGGGTATGGTTTTAGCCTCTCCCGCCCCATACCCATACACATACCCGCCCCACCAAGAGAATTTCTTCACATATCAAAAAATATGTGGATTAAATTGTAATCTATCAATGATGATGAAGATAACTCGAGAAAATAAATAGTAGAAATGCAATTGAGTAACCACCTTAATCAAAACCTAATTCATTTCTCTCAATTCTCCTTCCACTCTTTCACTTTCCCCCTTGTCAACAAGATTATGTTAGTTAATTATTACTTAGTAAATGTATCAAGAGTTAGAGCATAATAATTTAAAAAATATTATAGTCTATATTATGTATTAATGGATGTTTTAGGATCATATTTTTTGAATCGTATTTAGAAAATGACCGTGTTTTGTTGACTTCATGATATAATAGATTTGTTTATGGTTATAATTAAAACTTTTCTTGTAAATTTTAGGTATAATAATGTTGGATGTACGGGGATGGGTATTACCCATGGGTACCCAAAACCCACGGGTATGGGGATGGATTTGCAAAACAGTTCCCCGCATGAGTATGGGGCGGGTATGGATTTGGATATTTGAAAATGACAATGAGGATGGTTTAGACAAACCCACCCCAAACCCGCCCATTGCCATCCCTACATCCCATGTAGTCTCACCAACTGAAAACTCTTTAAAATTTTATAAACCAAAAGGACAAAAGGGAATCAATGGTATGAATGGGTTGATAGGTCCAACGCATCTTCAATTATTGGTTTGTTGACTTCACAACCCTGTATTATAGAATTTTTTTTTGCGGTTTGTTTGGTAGCGTTCAATAAATTAATAACGGTTTCGTTTTCGGACTTACATACCATTTCTGCCCACGTATAACTTAAATTAAGCCCTCATTTGTTTATTTAAAATAAAATGGTGTTCTCTCCGTCAACCAGGGA